TAGGTTCTTTTCAAATTTGGTTCCATAGAGAGGAGCTTGGACGGTGGAGGTGAGCGTATAACGCGCGTTAGATAGGGCCCCTTAAACCTACACCTGGGTCGCAAGTCCCAGTCACTGTTGAAGCTCCTCTCACTACAACGATGGACCCGACACCCGCATGGCGAATACATGGAATGCTCAAAAGTTTCGTCTCATGAATCTTCTGTCTACCTTTAGTTTTCTCGACTGATACGTCAGTAAAATCTTCACATATACAAAAGAACATAAAACGAATTTTATATTAAAATCGTTGTTTCATAAAACTAAACTCCATATCAAATATAGATATTACAGTAAATATTATTTTTGTTAAAGGTTAAGCGTTATATGAAATTATCTTATAAAATTTTATTGTTATCTATCGTTTTATTTATATAGAAGAAAACACTATTTGCCACTTAATAAATTTCATTGTCTAGAAATAGTCATCAATTTTATGTTAAATTAAAAGAAATACTTTTAAATGGGGGTTTGATTTAAATAATACCAACACATACTACACATACGAACATATTTATTAGTGACATATAATTTAGAAAAAATACATCGAATGTTAACAGTTCGGTTCAAAGTTGTTTTAAGTACCACTCGTAGAATAAAGTTTAAAAACAATTATGATGTACATCTAACAGATTATGAATATTCAATCATATTAAAATAAATGTCAATGTTATGTCACAGAAAAAACAATATTAAAATTGATACAAAAAAAACTAAAACAAAAAGCCATACAAATTAATATTAAAGTTATTAAAATAAATTTAAAATTGTTTTACAAGTCAATACTATTTAAAAAAATTAATAATTTAGATATTCATAATACTGTTAAATTTCCATCAATAAATCTAATGAATCAATAAATTTCAATATGAATTCAAACAGATATAGAATAATTATTATTAATTAATTATATCTACTGTTAACATACAAGCGGACAAGGCAAAGGGTTGTACATTTTATTATATACCATTGAGAATATTCCAAAAGCATTCTAAGCAATGGGCAACCATATTTAAAAAACTGACATATAGTAACATTTAAAAATATAAATCAGTTTCAGAACATACAAGTCGATAGATTTTAATAGAATTATTATTATATTCAATACATTTGTTTATTAACATCATTTGAAATCATAAGAATGCCTCCGAAAATATCCCCATATAACTACAATGTCATCTTAATTAAAACATAAATATACAATACAATACAAACACCAATGGAATAGATGGAAAAAATAAATAATAATTTTGACATAAAATGCAATAAACAGTCCAAATATAATACCAATACCACAAATATAATATTCAAAACACAAAAAATAAACTCTCAAAAAATACACAAAATTGCCACATTAGCAAGTGGTCCATACACTCTAACAGATGTTCAACATTCCGTTGTATTCCTCCTCATTCCCTTCATAACTACTCTGAATAAGTACAATATAATTTCTTGATCTAAAACTAGGCAATTTGGTTCGTAATTATTAGATCCTGTTCATAATGATAGATACTTTATTAATGACAAGTTAGTTCAAAATACTGTTTCTATATTCAAATACTACATTCTGAGCAAGACCTAATAAATAATAATAGGGCATGAAAATAATACTTCACCTTTTAGGCATAACATTTGTTTAACTTGTGATTTACCAGGTGGTTTATGGATAGTTCATGCCCTTAGATATAATTTGAACGCATACAAACAGTTAACTTATTGATCAAGACTTGTATTTATCAAATTATTTAACTTCTAATATGATATATAAGTAAAAGTTGTTTCACTGATTCAATAGATGGCGCTGTTATTAATAAGTTAACTGTTGTACAAAAGAAAAAATAACATTCACTCGAGTTAAATCGAACCAAGTTGTTTCACAGCCTTATTGAAGTCTTGGTGGTTTAAAGGAATCTCTGCCCGTATGTAATTGTACGCTGTACTATTTCTTTGGTGATTTCATATTAACAGTGACGCGTACATACAACAATATGGAATAACAAAAAATAAAAAAAATAAACAATAATTCCTAAGTTTAAAGCTGTTTATGGGCAGAGACATTAAATTAAGAGGCGGGAAAGATGTTCCTTTGTTAATGATCTTATTATACGGTTGTCATTTGTATTTATATCACATTTCTTTTAATATGTCATTTGTTTTATATGTTGCCAGGGCACAAGTTTTTCATGGGACATCTGTTTTTTATATAAATTATCATATAAATTGATGATTATAAAATTAAATTACAAATTAAATACATTATTTCCACAACTTGTGCCATGTCAACCTTCGTTGTTCTTATAATTATTATGTAATATATATTAATGATCTTATTAATTGTTCTAAGCCTCTTCTATTTCTCAGTCTCAGGGAATGTATGTTGGTAAGTCTCTTCGTTGCCTTACAATATATGTTCAACGCTTCGAACTTTTAAAAAACATCTTAAAAAATATTTTCAAGACAAAAAGGAAAACATTCTATATTTAAAAATAATACAGTGAGTTATCTAGAGTACTTAGTACTATAAAAATCATTTGAAGCATAATTATTATTATTTTTAATATTAAATTGGCCTAATAGTGATTCGATTACATTTAGCACAACTCGTCATTACAGGAGATTTTATATGATATATATATGTTTTGTACACTATAGTTAAAGGCATTAAGTATTCGGTTTAAGATCACAATATTTGTGCGTCGCTACATATACACTAGTATGCACCACGCTTTGTTCTAAGCCATTCTTTCATATTGGGGACGGACTATAAATGTAGTAAAAACAAACTCGTCTAATATTGGACCATTACAGTAAGGTGAATGTCACGATATATATAAAATTAAACATTTAATTCATTTTTGTCTACATCCCTTTTATAACTATGTAAAATGTCAAGGACAAAACATTATTTTCGCAACATCAGAGTGGCACGTGTCGACTGTATTTGATACAATCACGAGATTTTTCTCTTAAAGCTATATACAGTTGATATTAATTATAATATGTAATTGTTGTAATACTCCTTTGTGCAGTTCCTTCTACCGCGTGTTCGATTTTTAAATATTTGTTATGTACAATTCACTCGCGGCTGACTAGATGTTAATTTGGCGCCAAAGATTTAAATGATCTCGTTCTTTATTTGAATTTTTATGCAGACGATAAGATGGAATAGTTTTATAAAATATTTATCTGTTTTTTTTTGTATTGCTTATATTATCACAAAACGCTAAAATCAAAATATATTATTAATTTAGCATTATTTTTTATTTATTGATATCTCAATCGATATTATCGCCTCCATATGTATTGAACCGCATGTTTGTAATATATGTTCTGTGCGATTCCGTTTTGGCGCGCGATTTATTTTTCTTTATACACGATTCTTCAACTACGATATAAATTCGTATTGTGAGATGTTGCCAGTAAACATATCATTCGGCGTTTCTCAAATTAATATACATATTACAAGTTACTAGGAAATCTCAATTGTTTTTTTTATTTTTTATACATATTTTTCTATACTCAGAAACTTGTTGCATAAATACTCCTTCTGATGGTTATTCAAATGTGAATGACGTCATCAAAGTAGTGTTCGATATTCAATTAGACGAAACTAGTTTCTGAGCATCGACTTAGTAACATTTTACACTCATACCTTTGTTAGTAATTTGGTGAGAATTGACTTTTTCTATGTCTTAACTATAATGTATTAATTTTTTTTAAGGTACATTTTATTTGATTTTTGATAAGCGGTAACCGCTTTTTGTTTTAAAGCTATTTACAGGCGTGATGTTTATCTACGAAGAACGTTTTGCGTATTTTCTAAGTGCATATATATTTTTAAGTAGATGTTCATGATAAAAAAATTATTTCATAACTTGATTACTTTAATATATTCTACTGAAAGGAACTTTAGAGAAATAAATTATTAATTTCAATATATTTCTTTAAATTGGGAGATTTCTTTACTATATATATTCGAGAATCGATGATTTAGGCCTAATATTGGTTAATATGTTTCAAATACCAACCTTCGTTTTACAATTTGATACTAACTTTTTTTTCTATTAAAAAAATATGCCTAAAACTAATTTTTAACATAAAAAAACGTATTTAAACCACATCCCAACATAATTATATTCTAATTACGCCTTTCTAATATTGATGGTACAAAATCATTTCTGGTAACTAGATACAAAGCCTTTTAATCTATGGCACATACAATTCACCTGTATTTTATTGTCAATCGGTCAATCATTATTTTAATTGATTTTTTTGTTATCATCAATATTAAAAAGGTACACAATAGTATGTGGTGTTTAATTTTAATGTAACATTCATATATATTTGAGAAATTCAATGTTATTATTTATAGCCTTACATATGCAGCGGATAACTCGACTTGTTACTTGACCTTTTGTTTTTTAATATCTGAAAATTAAAAATATTATTTGAAATAATTGATGGTAACTTTAGTTAAGGTTATATGCTGAATTAATGTTAATTTTCATGAATATTTTTCTCGGTGTTTATGTCAATAGGTAGAATGATATAATATTTATTGGTCATTTTCAGTAAATTTCAATATTGCAACTAATATCTCGAAGAAGTGGTTCTTTTATTCCAGCAATAGCGACTGTCGTGACTTATAATAAAACTGAGTTTTGCCCAAAAATACTTTGTCTACAATATAAAAATATATTAAAAAATCGGTACATATTCGTTATTTTATTTTTTACTACCATCAAAAAGATCTTCATGGCAGCCATTAAATGGCTTACAATGTGTATGTATGCGTGTGTTTGTCTCTTGTGTTTGTGTGTGTGTATGTGTGCGGAAGTCTCTAGTTGGTGTTTGTCTCTTGCGTGTGTGTGTGTGTGTGTGTGTGTGTGTGTGTGTGTGTGTGTGTGTGTGTGTATGTGTGCGTATGTCTCTAGTCTGTGTGTCTGTGCGTGTGTATATACTCACGGGCCCTTCAGTATCTCCCTCGTGACGTAGTCAGCTACTTCCTCACTAGTGGCGGCCGCTCTCAACGCCGGGTGTAACTTCTCCCACGGTGTAGGCTGCCATGGGAAACGAGTGTCGGAATTCACCAACTATATAAAACAAACTTAGTATAGAATATATTAAAATATTACATAAACATTTAATTTAAAATTAGAATGAAACTAATATTTTATTATTCTAATATTAACTACTCCTTTACTATGATCACGGTTGCTGAAACGTATTAGTTTAATTTAATTGAATACTCGCGCTAAAGTCTTAGATCTCATTATTAAAATTCGAATTCATAGATACTAATATTTTTTTTACACTACAGTCTCTGTCATTCTTATAAATAGTATAAATAAGTCTGTTAAACTATTCAATTAAAACTAAACACATATTCAGAACCATCTAGGGTCTATCAACACCATATATACATTAACATCGACATATACTAATGGACATGCCTTAGAGATGAGAATTGTGGCCCTCCGAAAGAAAGAGAGGAAACGAAGTTTCGGTCTATCTTTATCTCTCTCAAACTAGTACCGTACTGACTAAGCGTCAAACATCTATGAGGAAAGAGATAGCGCTAGACAAAAGCATATGCCATCTCTCTCACTCTTTTCAAACCAAAAAATTACTGCAGATTGTACGCGTACGGTACATCCATTAGTATATGTCGATATACATTAACACGTTCAGAAATATTATAATCAAATCATATACTCACATCAATGAATTCCGACTCCAATGGTTTCTGAACATCTCTTGTCAACACTCGTACAACGTTCTCACTACAGATGGCGGTACTGAAGCGACTCTGTCGGTTGTATATAGCTGATATATCAAGCTCTTGTAAGGATGAGTTGCGAAGACGAACGAAACCTAATAGATCGTACTGCCACACCCAGTAACCTGGAAAATAATTAATAATTAAATATGTTAGTTATTGTTATATATGTGACAAGTAGGTAGAAGTACAAAGGTTTAAGGTTTAGAGATGATTTATTTCCCATTAAGAACAAAGTTCACTTATATAGGAAAATTAAACTAGTATGTAAACATAATAATAAACATTTATAAAGTTAATGGTGACCTTATTTATACAAATATTCAAATATAATTATAAAGTTTCACAGTATGTTTTTAATTTAGCCTTAAATTTCAAAAAAGATTTTTCCTTAAGTATTTCTTTCGCTAGATTATTGTACATTAGCGCTCCCTCAAATTGTATAGTTTTGAAACAAATACAAGAAAATTGTATATGTATATGAAACTCGATAATAGTTTTATTAATATAATAGTAAAAATTTTGTCAAATGAAATAAAAATCAGATAGATTTAACATATGTTATATATGAAATGAGTATAAGTAAAACAAATCTTATATGTAACTGAAATTGTAGTATTATGAATGTGACATTAAAATATTAGTCAATAATTAATAATAAGCTAAGTTCACTATGAATTTTAATAAAAAATAGGTACAAGTAAATTTTTTTTATATGAAAGTCAGATTGTAGTATTTACTAATATGAAATTAATAATTTTGTCACATAGAAGGCTAATTATGAATTATGAAAGCTAATTATATTTGAAGATGCTAAAATTGTATATTAAAACCAAAAATGATGTTATTAATACTAATAGCCAATTTTTTTACAATTAAAAATGTATTAAATATAACTGCAAGATATATTTTTATCAATAATGTACATCTAGCTTTATAATTTATATACATATTTTAATAAACTCACCATGTACAACCAGCCTCCTTAGATGTGTGCATTGCCAACAGAGCAATATAAGGGGATTGACGTTGCACATTGTCATCTGTATAACAAAAAAAAAGATTATTCATAGTTACAAGGATTAAACATGAAATATATGAAGAAATTCTAAGCATAAAGATGTTTTTATTTCAGTAGGCATATTGTGAATATACAAGGTGACTGGTGAATTACTATTAATATTTAAGGAGCATACTCGGTACATGATTCTCATTCGAATTATGTAAAAAAATAGGTACTTAATTTTTGACCAAATTTCCGTACCTATAAATAAATAAAGTGTTGACACGTTCCAAGTGTGGACGCGTGCGGCGGCGTGCTGATACAACAACACGCCGCCGCCGCGTCTGTGTGTGTGTGTGTGTGTGTATACCTAATCTGTAGGGTGTTCATACGATGCGTAATTAATTACATAACTATTAACTTTTGGTTAACTTTACTTAGAAGTTTATTAATATTTATGTTATATTAATTTTTCTTTTGTCATATATGATCGTCAAATATCACGTCCTCAAATATCGATAGTAATTCACCAGTCACCATGCATAATGTGTATTGTGTTATTAGAAGAGCTTAAATGACTTATATATTCTTATCATAGTTTTGAAAGAATCACTCATCTTTTTGAGTTCTATATAATACGTAAAATGTTATTATTCTATACTCATGTCTACTATTATTGTTGTTTCATTACAAAAGCTAAGTATATCTATATAACACTTACATCATTTTCTTCATTGTAATATACATACTGAATACATATAATATTATAAAACAATATCACAAGTTGCTAATCTATTTATATACACAAATTATATATGTATATTTTTACTCTTATTAAGGTTGTAATGTTAATAATATTATTAGTTCCCACCTCTTCTGGATCAGCGTGTTGTTTGATGATGCGTTGGAAGAACTCTGTAGAGTCATAAGGAGCGTCCGCCCATACTAGCTCTGTTAGAGTCGACTTGTAGAGACGAACGGCTCGCTGAAGAACGCCTGTGTGTAACTGGAATGAAATAGACTCAAATAGTTAATGATCATCAGCCTATCAGAGCCCACTGCTGTAAGGCCTCTTCTCACATGGAGAAGGTTTGAGCATTAATCACCACGCTTACTCAAGACGGGTTGGTGATTTCAAACTTTTAATTGTGAAATTATAAGTCCAGGTTTCCTCACGATGTTTTCCTTCACCGTCTGTCAGTGGTGTCTAAATACTCATAAACTTATATTATAAATATATTGCTTACTAGTATATCGTTACTTTATTTTGTAATGACAGGAAGTAGTTTATAATGAGGTTTATGTTAATACGGAGGTCGAAAATATTATAACGACCTTACCACACTGACGGAAATTGATTACCATATTTGATTGTAGGTCGTGTGGGAACGCCTTAAATACTCTTAGAAAGTACTTGAAAATTAATACACAGATTATAAAACTGTTTGTTACAATGATTGAATACCATGAACTTATTGATGTATTTTAAAAGATGAAACTTTGACGCACAGATTATTATAGATTAAAGATAAGTAACAAATGATAGAAAAAAGAGATTTTTTTGTTACACTAACTAACATAGATAAAGTAATATATTATATATGTATATATAACTTACAGTTTTACAAAACATAGCCTTCAAAGAGACTAGGTGCAAGCCTTCCACAAATACATTATGAAGGATCACATCAAATACTTCTGGATTCACAGACACCTGGAAACATAAAATAATAAGACACAATACAAAAAAAATAAAACTACCTCCCAAAAAAACCAACAGAATTTTCTTCTTGTTAAATTAATATATTATAGTGGACAACGATACGGATACTTCAATGATAGAAGCTAGTATAAAAAATACTTAAAAGCTTTCTTGTATCCACATTAACTCAATATTATGTAGGGTTGTCACTTTCTGTTCGAGCTAATTGGTATGTTTTGAAGAAGTTTAAATGTCCTAACACAAGTGTCACTTAGCAAAAATTAAAAACCTATAAGTATTTAAAAAGCCATTAATACATATCAAAGGAATATTGCTATTTTGACTTTCTGGTGAGGAAAAAGTGAAACATCTTCCAATAGTATTCAGTATATTGATAGTGTTATTTGTTCTGTTTAAGGTTGAATTGAACAGTTCATACACCAACAGAATTGTTTTTGTTATTAAGTTGCTTACAATTTTGAAAAGGTCCTAAGCAAGGTTTTCAAAGAAATATTTTATCCTACTAATTCTTATTACTAACCAAAACAATATGTCATGAGCCCCAAATTCTCAAAAAGAGATTTTTAAGTAAGGAATTTCTTTATTGCTTTCGGGTTTAAAGAATTTTATTTTCCAAAAAGAACAAAGTTCGCTTACAAAGGAAATTTTAAAAATTATAACTACAATTACGATTACAAATAATAAACAGTAGTAATATTTAACAAGATCAGTGAAATCATCTAATATATAGGTTCTTAATCGTTTTTTAAATATATTTAGAGATTTTGAATTGACAACACTTTGAGGCAAAGAGTTATACAGCTGTGGTCCTTCAAATGAAATAGTTTTTTTGAACTTTCTTCGTTTCAAATACAAACGCAATTGAAGCTACAGAAATCTCATTACAAAATCTGAAATACTTGCTAAACCAGAATAACTTGACCAATCTAGTAGGACTAATATTACAATCATGGGATTATTACAATTATTTTCTACTGGACCTATATTGAGCCCTAGTCAGTAGTATATAGTATTGAGCCCTAGAACTACTTATTAGTAGTTATACTCACAACATTAAGTGCGATTCTGATCCTCGATCTAGCAGCCACTGTCCAATCAACTACTGGAAGTACTCCAGATCTTAAACCCATAGTTACGCTCAACGTCACACGTAACACACACACTGTTTGTAACGCTGACGTACTAAGTTGTTCGTAATCAACTATCAAGTGCTGTGAAAGAAATAGATTTGAGAATTAAAACACTCCAAAAACATCAAAATAATAGCAAAATTATATAAAGTTTAAAGGGCCATCAATAAAGTAAATGTCAATGTGAAGGGAGAGTATCACTAAAGTGTGACATCGTGTAATAAGAGACATGGGGAGGGTAATAATTTTATAACGTCACATATTAAAATTTGAAACACTATGTTTAGATATAAATTGAAATTTAAATATTTGTTTTTCGGTTTTATTTAATATTGGACTTAATGTTGATTTTATTAGATTAGTAAATAATAAAATAGGTAAAGAATGAATATAGCTCTTTTTTATCGGTTATTTTTATATACATACATAAACTTACAAAATGTGTGACGTCACATCAAGAAAGGGGAGGGGGCTATAAAAATGTAAAACTGATCATAACGTAGGAGCTAAGTGTTTAAAGGTCCTAAAATTCGTGTCTCGTACTTTATGAATGATCCCTAATATAAAATTACATAATTCACCTGTAAATTAGAGCAGGTCATGAGATCAATGTTACACCTGGACAGAATAGCGTCCGCGGCTGAACTGATAGTATTGAAAGACAGGTGCCTCGAGTAGTATTCCACGTGTTTATTCTGAAACATATAATAATGTTTATTTAAATATTACCCTTATGTATAATATATGATACTCTCGATATTATTAATGGTTACATTTTCAAATTCCTACTATAAATAAAAGATTTTTATTTTTTACTAGCTTTCCGCCCCCAGCTTCGCCCGCGAAGAGTCCGGGCGTTTCCAAGAGAACCTTTTAAAAGTCTGGAATAAAAAATATCCTATGCTCTTTCTCAAGGTCAACTGCATCTCTGTACCAAATTTCATTAAAATCAGTTCAGTGGTTTAGGCGTGAAAACGTATTTTTCATTGTTTACCCCCCGCAACCCTCCTTGTGGGTGGAATTTCGTAAAATCCGTTCTTAGCTGAACTCTACTCGGCGAAAGGAATAGTCCTACCAAATTTCAAGTCGCTACGCCTTATGGCTCCAGAGTATCGTGATGAGTCAATATATAGGTGGAAATCTCTTTTATATATATATAGATTTCAATACAACTCACCGTATACCGCCCGTTATCCGACTTAACGTTCGTCATTTCGCATCCCATTAAAGCTAGCTTCTGTAAGCTATGAAGATTCTTAAACACAAGACTTTCCGCTGTTATTCTACAATGAAAAAAAAGTTTATAAATTTTTCATTTTATTTTTCAAAGAGAGAATTACTTTACAACATAAGTACTATGATAGAATTTTTATTCTACACATAAATAAATAAGTGGTTTCTTTAATAAGATTCGCATTAAATATTTAATTATGAGATATAAAACTATTGTTTAAACTTACAAGTACACTCATAATTCTTTGTAATCGTGATTTATTTCTGACACTAAAAGAGCTATAATATAAATTTCTATAATTAAAGCTACTTTTTATTTTAATATATTTTATGTACATACCGATTTAGTTTCGCGATAGACTCATTGGGATTCTGTTGTATGTAGCTGGGACCGATGAAAATTAACTCACGGAGATTCTGAGCCTCGAAGAATCTGAAATGTTCAATATTAAGCCTTAATAACGAATATATTAGAGCTATAGTACAATAAGCTATTGTTTCTTCGACCTATAATTTGGGTTTTCAATAAAAAAGTGAATGGGCTAGTACTGAGATAGTGTATTTGCTAGCATTTAATTTATTTCTACCTTTCAATGTGGAATGATAGTCACGTACTATTTAGTCGAAATAAAAATAATACAAATTACACAAAAGTTCATTATAGTAATAAAAATCATCGATTTAGTTATTGTCAATAAAAACATAATTAAAAAATATATTTTTTTAATGTATGTATATATATAAAGTAAATAGTTCGTTTAAACAATATATATTCAAATATTCAATAAAAATCTAAACTAGTTAAGTATTATAAATTATAACAATAGACCTGTGATATTGTGGAAGGTGCAGGTTTGAATCCAGTCAGTGTAACCAAATTAGATTACGTATTTCTAAATATTTGAGATTTAATTCAAGTTTAAACTGAAGATAATTCTTCGGTAAAAAGATTTTTTTAATCTCTAACTCACAAAAAATATGTTAGGTATATCTTCTGATTTTTCTATGAAAGACGTATGTTTTTAGATAAACGATGAAAGCGGTACTATTCTTATGTACTGTAAATTGTATTGTATTGTATAATATCATTTTACGCTTTCTACGAATTTAAATAATCTAACATGGTTTTCTATGACAGCATTGTTTATTTATTTATATTGATAAACAAATTTCTAGCTACACACCCACACAAACACGCACACACACACGCACGCGCTCACCCACACATAGTAGATTGTCAATAAAATAACTATAAATAAATATCTATTTGTAAGTTTATCATAATTAATCATCTTATTAAAATAAGCATACATTATTAATTCAACACCTACATTTCGTATTATGTAATAATATATTTTGTTCCTTTTTGATGTATCTCCTTAAGGAATTCACAGTCATAGAAACCTTTTTTTACGACAAAAATAAAGGTACATAGGAAAGAATATTTAAATTTAAATTTTCTTTTGATGTCTTTTAAAACAACACTCCCTTTCAGTATGAATAATTAACGTATTTTAAGTACACTCAAAAGCTATTTTTAACTATAATAAAAAAGGAAAAAATAATAGATATCTTATAATTTGACAGTTTTTCAAATCGTTTTACAAAAGTAAACAGATAATATCAAATTTAATAAATATGCATAAAATATAAATAACTTGATAACATTATAAAATATTGAATACAATGTATTTTATGTTGATTAGTTTTATAATAAGTTCTTAATATTTTACGTCCACGTTAATATCATGGGTTAAGTATAAATGGAAGAACAGGGAACTTTAAGTATATAGTTTGACTTTTAACTAGCATTAAGGGTAAATGAAATTAGGACTTAACCCTTTCGAGCGAGAACATAATTTCTAGACGAATATTATGTTTAAATTTATTTAAAATATAACTTAACTCTAAATATAAAATCATTTTATTGCTAACTAATAATAAAAGCATTAATTAACTTTACTTCTAATACTTGAATATGAATTTTTTTTTATTATTATTATTTCATTAATAAACTCTGTATAATAAAATACTTCAGTATTATTTCTAACTGGTTATCATAGTTTTTTCTTTATGGACGTTCTAAATTCAAATCAAACAACAATAAAACTAATTTCTTGAAACATGTCAACATAGGACGTCTTAATATTTATTGCGTTAAGCCTTTTCATGATTATACTAAATACACTGAATTTAATTTTATTCAACTTTTTAATACTTGATTATTTATCTTTCCTTGAAAAGTTTTCGTATTGGTTGTGCAATATTATGTAAATAAAGTTTAATTTTAAATGAGACGAAATTTCTCATCATTCAATATATTCACTATGTAAATGCCGGGTCCATCGTTGTAGTGAGAGGAGCTTCAACAGTGACATGGACTTGTGACCCAGGTGTAGGTTTAATATATATAGAGAGACGAAACCTCTCATCATTCAATGTATTCACGGTGCGTGTGTCGGGTCCGTCGTTGTAGTGAGAGGAGCTTCAACAGTGACTGTGACTTGTGACCCAGGTGTAGGTTTAATATATATAGAGAGACGAAACCTCTCATCATTCAATGTATTCACCGTGCGTGTGTCGGGTCCATCGTTGTAGTGAGAGGAGCTTCAACAGTGACATGGACTTGTGACCCAGGTGTAGGTTTAAGGGGACACTATCTAACGCGTTAAACGCTCACCTCCACTGTCCAAGCTCTTCTCTATAGACTATACCTAACCAAATTTGACACGAACCTACTAGGACTTAATTTAAAGTAAATGATTTATGAAATGTTGAAATCTTTATGTTACCCTTAGTTTGCATCGGTATACTACATACTGAGCGTTAACAGTTTTAATGCAGGTTACGGAATAAAAAAACGAAAAAGTACATCAAAATTAAGTAAAATTCGTCTGTACTAATATTATAAAGCTGTAGATTTTGTATGTTTGAAGGCGCTTATCACAGAAACTACGGCTCCGATTTGAAAAATTCTTTCAATCTTTGAAAGTCAATTTATCAAAGATGGCTATAAGCTTTTTATTATTTTCAAAAAATAAGAAATTCTCTAGAAAACTGCTATTTAATATATTTTTCTATAATTAACTTAAAACAAAACAATTAATATTCATTGTTAGTTATTTTAGTACATAGAATAATTCATACAATACCAGGTTACGTTAACACTGTGTAATCTCATTAAGTAAATCTCATTGCATAAAGTGTTATATAAACGACGATTGCCCTAAGACTTTTTACAACGTGTGCGAGCTATTTTCATATATAAAAAAAATAAATCACGTAAAACGTTGTGTAAGATTTTGTTCACGTCATTTGAAATAGATGTTCTTAGAATATATATTATCACAAAATTATACAAAAAAAATATACTATAATATCTTCTTCTACCTGGCAATTTCCCAGCTTTAGCCAGGGTCTGCCTTACATGTTGTGAATAGTTTTGGCTAATTGTTTATACGACCGAGCCGCCTGCCTGTCATCAACCCTCTTTTGGAATGCATTAATCAGTGATGTCTAAATACTCTTAGAAAGTATATATGAGTCAGAAAAATCACATTGGTACTTGCCAGGATCGAACCAGCGCCCTCGTGCATGAGAGGCGGGCCTTTTAACCACTAGGCCACCACTGACTAATTAGTTCATATTATATATATACTTATTATCATATATACTCACTGTGGTAGAATGTAATTCATAAAATTTTCCAAATCCTCTCCATAGTTGTCTATGTATATATGTATAACTCTCACATGTTTTCTGAACAGTCGCGTTAGGAACAGTGTTTTCTCGAATTGTCTTATACGCAGCGTTAGTTTTTCTCTGTAATACAAAAGAAACATATATATAAGTGAATTTTATTCCTGTTATTTGTTAAGTTAATTCCTTACCAAGAGATACAGAAGATAAAAAGTTACTTTAATTTTTAATACTTCATTATCTACATATACTCTTAAATGGAGCTAATTAAGTCTTTGCTTACAATAATATTTAAAACAAAATATTGAAGGCAATTATTTTATATACATATTTGAAATACAGAAACAATATTATCTCTATTATACAACATAATACATACACACACACATACATATATATTTATATACATATATATAAAAATTAAATCAAAAACAAAGTGAAAGAATTGAGGATATCCTTATATCTGGATGTTTTTTATTACTAAAGGTCATCTGGTATGGAATGTAACATTGTGTTCACTTCACACATAGAGGTCAAAGCAAGTGAAAGTTTAACATAGCAAAGAAGAATATACTTACTGTTATATATATGTAATTTATGTTTGTCTTTTATATATGTTTCAAATATATATAAAAATTACTTACATATTAAAGATGCTACAATTTATTTGTTTGTAATACATTAATTAATAAATCAAATATAAATGTTATAATAAAATTTTAATATATGTATAAATCATATAGGTATCATATAGGAAAAATCTATTGAGCAAATTAAAAGATATTCCTGAATAGTATATACATGTGAATAACGTATATATTAAAAAATATATATTAATAATCTCAAGTAATTGAAAATATTAAATAATCTTGATTATTTATCTTATTAAGATTCTGGTGGAATCATAAAATATACTTATTATATTTGAACATGACTAAGTTTCTCCATAATATTATATCTTAAACTCTTCTTTATAATATTAAGAACGACATACATATTTTCCTATTATGCACTTGACTTTATCATGCTTTAATAATAACTTGAACACTTAAAACACTTGTAATGGGAACACTTGAGTTTATTGTACTTATATTTAAAATTGATTGCATACACTTCAATAATATGTACATAATAACTTTACAATTATAACTAGAACAAAAAATATATATACAAATTTTTATAATCAACAAATTGCAATATACATACTAAGATATATATACATATATGTATATATAAAAATAAACATTAAATTGCTATTTCCTACTTCTATTTTAAGCTGGCTTATGATTGGTAATTGTATATTTATTAATAATAAAATTACATATTAAGAGTAACTGTACTTTCATGCTGATAATAGCGAAACATAGTAATTAGGTGGTTGATCATTATCTAAGGCTTCATAGAAATCAGAGTAAGTATTTCATATTATGTTTTAAGATAAGAATACATTGTAATACAGAATATATATCCTACTAATATTATAATTGCGAAAGTTTGTGAGTGTGTGTGTATGTTTGTTACTTATTCACGCTCAAACGGCTGAACGGATTTTGATAAAATTTTGTATACAGAAAGCTGACGTCCAGGAATAACACTTAGACTGCTTTACATCCTGGAAATCCGCAGGTAACACAGCAGGGTGCAGCTAGTATATCATACATTACATATTAGCAAATGTAATAAAATACAAATGTAATGTACTCATGAGAGTCATGGTAAATATATAACTCTTCTTCTGCCTGGCAATTTCCCAGCTTTAGCCAGGGTCTGATGATAAATATATAACTATTATATACTAACTTGTGTCCCTCAAATAACAGTATGGCGCTCCTCCAGTGACGGCAGGTTGAGAGGGCGGCCAGAGCATCATCCGTATTGAGATGTTGCAAAACACATCTCAAAGGAAGAAGCGGCAAACTGTCCCATGTCGTTGACATCTTAACAAAATATAATTAATGTTAACATTATATTAAACTATACAACTAACCTTTAATTATACTATAATCTATATATAAACAACAAAATAACCATTTATATATGATTGTACATTATTTTAATAGAACTATTGAATTTTCTTCACAATAGTTAATTGTGTGAATTTAATTATTTATCTCATATTAAATGTCCCTAAGATTCACTATTAATAAACATATTGATGTAATAATTGCATTATTTTTAAAAAAAAGTTACTTTTCGTTTTAATTTAAATGTAATATATAAATTAAACCATTTATAAATAAAACATTAGCATTCTACCCTTCTATGGACGATAATAAAAGTAGTTATTTAAATGGTATAAAAATATGTTGTTCTTATTCATATTTCCTTACAAATATGTACAATGATGTAAATGTTAAGCATTACACGAGATATATTATAAAAATCGATCTTCGTTTGTCTTTTTGACCTTCACCATTTCTTTAAAACCGATTTTAACAAGCATAAATAACTACCATGAAATTTTCTTCCTACGACCACTTACGACGACAAAATCAGCTGTTTAGATACACCTACCGTTTCAACAGCTGTTACTAGAAAGTAGGCTACAAAAAATAAACTGCGCATCAACTTATAAATTGTTAATTTATGATAATGATGTTTTTTTCTCAAATTCCTGACCAAAGTGAAAAGGATGTGTCTCCGTCTAATATTTTATACCAATCCATTTAATATTTTTTTTTCAAGTTTTAAGGTACAAAGAAAAGAACAATAATATGAAAAAGAAAAATTTGCACTTACCTTAATAAACACTCGTTATTATGTGATATATTATAAATTTCTTCTCTCCTAATACAAATTGAATAACACATATATTTAATTGAAGAATTAAATTATTAATATTATTTCTCTGTCCATCGCTCGAACTATCACGCAAAACTAAATTATGAAACTGTCGACTGTAATGAATAGGGATTGATCAACGCTATATAGAGTCGATACTTTAAAACTTGTACTTAAATAAACATAGTTATAAAAAAAAATATAATATAAAGATACATAGAAGTGTATTAAAATAAATTATATTGTACCTATAAACAAATAAATTATAAAATACATATAAATAATATTAATAGAGGTCTAATTCTTTGTGTAAGGATATATTGAAACAATTTATAAGTAAGACATTATGAAATATTCTATAGTATAGATATAATATTTTAAATGTATTAAAAAGGGAGGAAAAAAAGATTACATTTCGATTTATTAAGAGAAAAAGGAAAAATACAAAAAAATTTCAAGTTTAAACTATGGCAACATTTTTAAATGTTTACTTAAAAACCGTAATTAGTAAATTTTCAATAATCTCCAGAAGTATTTGATATTAAATTTACGAAAATTGTACTTTTAACAAAATTTATACTGTAGAAATAAACAACAAATTTTAAATATCAAGCAGTTTTAAATATATTCCAAAATAGTGCGAATCTGTTGACCAGTAGTTATAAACTTATTATATTACATTTATTTAATCGTCTTTAATCATAACTTAATTTTCAACCCGTTTTTTTAAATATTACATATATATAAGTATCGTTAACATTCGCAATTAAATTGACAGTAACATTCTATTTAAGTGACAATCAAGCCAAATGTTACCCACTTGCAAAAATGGCGGCCAAAAATCAATTTTGAATTCTGACAGCTGATTGTTTGCCGCAGTGGCTCTCGGAAAAAATAAAAAAAAAAATATATAAGTCCTTTAGGATAATTAAAATTATCATCATTGAAATGAATTTAATATAAATTAAAATGTCTTGTATGTGATGTATTGAGGGAGGCGCTTAGTTATAGTGTCTATTGTGATCGATGATGTAAGATTATTTAAGTGACTAAGTGCGCGTTTCATTGTTTGTCTGTTTTTTTGTATTTTCGTGATGGAGGGCGACAACGGAAGCATCGGAAATCATGAAAAGGAAGGGAACGAGAGCAGTTCACATTCAACACCACAAGAACATAAATCTTTCGCCGAATATGCCAAGGATAAGTTGGATAGTGGTGAATATATATTTATTTAATTTTATTTAATGAAAATTTATATTACATACTTGATTATATTGTTAAAATTATATTACTGACGTCAGCTAAGGACTTAAAATAATATTTACGACCCACCAATGATGAATAATAAATTCAAACAGTTTATTATTATAAAATAAAAAACATATATAAACAATTTGAATGACGATTTTTAACATATGTTCTTCCTTCCTACAATGCCATCCTACAGTATTAGAGTACTTTTATTGGTATAATTATATACTAATATAATAATTGTTCAGCGGGCAGAGAGTTACGACGTCGTCTTCCCATGGCTGGTCAGTTGGGAGCACACTTGATACATCCAAGAAGACTCCTGCTACACTCCACACCCACACAGCAGACCGATGTTGTACTTATATTCCCAAAAGGTACAAATAGATCATTAAAAAAGAGGTTTTATATATTTAAATATTTTTTTAAGAACATAATTCCTGTTTTTTTTTTAATTTTTTAGTTACAGAATGTTAGATATGATTGCAATGATCAAAAGTTTTCATCCAAGTTACCAAAAGTATATTATTATCATAACAATTATTGAATACATTAAGCTCTTAAAGATTCATAGTTTCTTTCTAGTATAATGTGATTTGTTATGGTTACTTACTTATTTCTTACATATACATATAATAACTTATTACTTATTTTGTTATTTAATTTACAAGTTAGACAACTTTTTAATTACTATTGAAATGCTCAATTATTTTTTTTCTATATGACAGTTTTAACAAATGTACTTGTATGTTAAGTATCAGTTATTGTATATAAGCTTGAGTGTGGCCCAACTATTCTAATTTGAGTTCCCCAAATGACTTTGTCATGAATAATTCATTGTTAAAGTGATAAAGAACTTGAATGTACAGTGGAGCAATTTGGCACCGAGTAGGCATTTATTTAAGTTACATTGACTGTTTATTAGAAATAATATAGAAAAATATAATATGATATCCTATAATAATATTAATACTGGGATTTTTATAAGCTTTTATAAAGAAAATACTTCAGTGTCTTATCAATATAATTCATGAATTAAGTCTTTTAAACATAATAGCACTAGTAAATAGTAGTTAGTATACAAAAAAAAAATTTTTTGGCGCGTATTTTATTTAAATTTATAATTTGAGACGAACATTCTATATGATTATTTTATACTTAATACATTAATTAAGATTATAATTAATATATTTTAATTTCATGGTGTATATAATTAAGGTCTGCCGGATAGCATGTTGTTATGGCTGCTCCAGAAATTACGAGGCAGTCGTCCCAGATTGAGGGTCTACGTACGACAGCACGCGTCATCACAGTGCTCAGCCTTTTACATAACAGCTGATGACGATGTGTGAGTGTGACATACATACACGTACACACACACGCGTACTCGTATACATGTACGACAGAACTCTTATTCACAGTGCTCATATACAGGGTGACTGGTGAATTACTATCGATTCTTGAGGACGTGATATTTGACGATCATATATGACAAAATAAAAATTAATATAACATAAATATTAATAAATTTCTAAGTAAAGTTAACCAAAAGTTATGTAATTAATTACGCATCGTGTGAACACCCTACAGATTAGGTATACCCACACACGCACACACACGCGTGCGGCGGCGTGGTGTTGTATCAGCACGCCGCCGCATGCGTCCACACTTGGAACACTTGGAACTTGTCCACACTTTATTTATTTGTACGGAAATTTGATCCAAATTTAAGTACCTATTTTTTTTACATAATTCGAATGAGAATCATGTACCGAGTATGCTCTTTAAATATTGATAGTAATTCACCAGTCACCCTGTATAACAGCTGATGACGACGTATGAGTGTAACACAATACACGCAACACTCACACACATAAAAAACAAACAAGGACACACAAACGCTCACGTCTATATATATATATACTAGCTTTCCGCCCGCAGCTTCGCCCGCGTGTAGTTCGGTTATATCGCGTTTCCAAGAGAACCTTTCAAAAAACTGGAATAAAAACTATCCTATGTTTTTTCTCAAGGTCAACTCCATCTCTGTACCAAATTTCATTAAAATCAGTTCAGTGGTTTAGGCGTGAAAGCGTAACAAACAGACAGTGTTACTTTCGCATTTATAATATTAGTAGGGATATACCAGAGCAAGCTTTTAATAAGATCTGATGATGATATGTTAGTGTAACACAATATATAAAAAAACATACAAACGCCCTCATCTTTGTATATACATATACATATTACATAGTTTGCATATAAAATACTGTTTGTTTGTACATCACGTGGGACTTGATGAGTAATGATGCCTATTTGAACCTGTGACTCGAAAATATTTATTTTGGTTAAAAATAAATTACAATCATCTCAAAAGAAATGATTATTTCGTTTTCACTTGACATTTTTGCTAAATAAATATAAACACGTAGACAACAACAAAACATTGAGAGTTGAGAATATTTTATAAGGCATCATATTTATAAAAGTGTTACAAAAAAAAACATCTAAGAACAAAACCTCGCAAAATCAAACTCTTTAGAAACTTTTACAATGTACTATATTTTTTTGCTTATTAAATATATTTTTCTCTCTTTCAACACATTACCTAATTATTTAATTTTAATATATTTTATACATTTTCTTAGACTGTTGCAAACCGCGGAAGAAATTCATCTACCGAAATTATTGAAGCCGGAATTCGGTGGCGGTTATAAGGAGTTCACAGTACGTGATATGCACTGCTTCCAAAAGGTGAGATATACACACACACACACACACGCATACATAAATATATACACACACACACACACACATATGTATATATAAACATATGTACATGCTTCAAAACCAATGGACGTATTTATGCAAGAAATAAACAAATATCTATATTGGTTTTTAGTTCTATATGGTTATATCATAGAACTAAAAACCAATATACAGGGTGACTGGAGAATTACTATCGATATTTGAGGACGTGATATTTGACGATCATATATGACAAAATAAAAATTAATATAACATTAATATTAATAAACTTCTGAGTAAAGTTAACCAAAAGTTATGTAATTAATTACGCATCGTGTGAACACCCTACAGATTAGGTATACACTGATACTCACACATACGCGTGTCGTGACGTAGTGTTGTATCAGCACGCCGCCGCACGCGTCCACACTTGAACACTTGGAACGTGTCAACACTTTATTTATTTATACGGAAATTTTGTCAAAAATTAAGTGAGTATTTTTTTTACATAATTCGAATGAGAATCATGTACCGAGTATGCTCCTTAAATATTGATAGTAATTCACCAGTCACCCTGTATATAGGTTGTATTATGTGCAGTATGAATTTCTGTGGTCAAATGATTTTAACAAAAACTACCTATATTATATGTTTAAGGATTGTTAACTAAACTTGGGAAGTCCCTATATAATTAGTTTTTCCATAATAATAAAGTAATTAAAATAATTATTATTTTGACAAGTTTCCTTGATATTAATGTAGTTCCAATATTAAAATGTACACTTTTAGAATCGACTACGTTCTATATACAATTAATTAAACAGTGTTGCTATTTAAAATAACATATATGTATATTCAAATTTTATTAAAATTTTCCATATTTTTGACAAAATTAATTGCAGTTTAAAATTCAAACTATTTTTTATATTATAAGAATAAAATTACGTACAATAATATAAATTTACTAAAACAAATAACTTACTTATTCGTGATAGTAATCTCTTTACGTGACTAAAACTACTTTTGATAAATCTAGTTTTGTTCTCGAACATTTTATCTCTACTTATACAATACATTGTATAATCAATAATTTGATTTAAATTCATATATTATATAATAATCATATTTTATTTATTACCTTAACCGTACCAAAAGTTTTATTTTTATTTTATACTACATACGACGCGTTGACAGATTTGCATTCAAGTTCAATGACCCTTATACATTATTCTCAATGCAATTCTAAATTATATTATAATTTGAAATTCTCTTATAATTCGTGACTGAATATCAAATACTATAAAAGAAATTTTTATTAATAATAATTATTATACGTGGCACCAACTGTGCCGTACTAATTAATAATTATAATTTATTATAAGCCTTTTATGACTCATTATAATTAATTATTATACTAAACCATTGTAATTTTGTAATGGCAATATTTAAGTATCAACATGTATTTGATAACTATAAATACTGGCTTCAGTCATTTTGTAGAACATTACTGGAAGTAACGCTGAATATTAAGAATTAAGACTGAATATAATTAGATTTCTAACAAATACCAATTTCATTTCAAATACGAAATCGATCTTAATATCGAAGTATTCGCTAACCAAAATCAAGGTAATGTATATTAATTGGTGAAATAGACGGCGTGACCTTCAAGATTGGCTTCAAAGAGAAATGTATGAACTGTATTTAAACAATAGACATAGTAAAGAACTGGTAGAAACATCTATAGTATGTCACGTGACTTCATACTTAATGCTAATGTTATTTATTGATCTTCTTATAAAAGACTACCTGCGCCCCGCGGTGTTACCCGCGGATTTCCAGGATGTAAAGTAGCCTATGTGTTATTCCTGGACGTCATCTTCCTGTATACAAAATTTTATCAAAATCGGTTCAGCCGTTTGAGCGTGAAGAAGTAACAAACATACACACTCACAAACTTTCGCAATTATAATATTAGTAGGATATATTGTAGCTTATGTTTGAGTTTCATCATAATCGATCAGATATTTTTTGTTTGAAAAAAATGTTATATCCTTCCAAACTTAGCCTATATAAAGGTATAATATATATTTAAAAAAATATGTTGCATTTATGAAATAATTCAGTACTTTCTATAACAATTCGTCAAATTGCGATCAAAATGACTTAAGAGTTTTCATAATAAGCTCTCAAAATTTTACCTCCTCTTAAAGTATTTTGGAGCGACCTTCGTGGCCTTAATTACTATTGAAAACACTCAAGGATACTTCAGATGTCGGAAAAGTTATTTGAACGAGATTCGTATAATATTCAAACAACCGAAATGTTGAACAAAAGTATCTACTTAGGTATATTAAAAAAGTAATATCAATACTTTCCTTTGAAATACGTAATGATAGCTCAAATTCAAAAATGGAATTCGAATTCCAATTCAAATTTGGAACTTTCTTATTAAATTGACGGCTTAATTTTAAAATAAGCAGTCTTATAAGGCATGTTAACAAAAGTACTTATATTTACCATACCTTTTTTGAAATACGTAATGATACGTCAAATTCAAAAATGGAATTCGAATTCCAATTCAAATTTGGAACTTTCTTATTAAATTGACGGCTTAATTTTAATATTAACATTATTGTACTCAAGTTGTATCACCTATGCAATCTATACATATATTAATTGAATTTACATAATTATTTATTTCACTATTAATTCTTATTGCTTACTTTATATTATATAAAAAGTATACCTAATATTCTACTTACATAATTAATTGTACGAGAATTTAATCAAATTTTACCTACGTAAAGGGTTTTATATTGTAAAATATAAAGCTATGTACATTCATTAAAATACCAAAGTTCAGGGACGGTGTTATTTAACAGGGGACTCCTTTTTGTGTGAACTCTCTTTATTTTTTTTAATGACGTCTTTATGTTGTCGCGTGTCGTTTATTTACAGCCGAATTCTTAGAGCTTTAGCACGTTGGAGTTTTAGAGTTTTGCCTTTATGTTTTATATGTATATAATATTATATATAATATTTAAAAATTATGTATAACTAGGTGACCCGGCAGACTTCGTACTGCCTCAATCAAGACATAAATTATTTCTTAATTATTTTTTTGGAGTTTACCTTTAAGCCATAAAATTCAGTGTTCTGAAGTGCGACAGAATGATTGACATATTAGTTAGTTATCAAATCTAATGTCAAAAAACCCGTTTGTATGGGAAATAGAAAAGCGCTGTTTTTAGGGTTGTCCCGGAAATTTATATTTTTTTTTCAGCTTTTATACCTTCCCTGAACCTCCACGACAATTTCAAGACTAAGATAAGATAAATCCGTTCAGCTGTTCTCGAGTTTTAGCGAGACTAAGGAACAGCAATTCATTTTTATATACATATATAGAAGATTTAATTTTATTGCTAGTTTGTAGACAATTTACCTGAATTACAGTTTTTTGTATGCTCTAAGTTCCAATGCAATATTAATTTTATAGTAGTGGTGATTTTATACCTAGTATCTATTACACTTGACATGTTTGAGCCGTCCGCGTCACTCTAAACAGAACGCTTAATGAATAACTCTATACATTAGCATTAACGTTTATTTAATGAGAAACGGGAAACTGTTAGTGTGTAGTGCGAAGATGGAAATGAGTACTAAGCATATAGATATGTTTACTATTTATTACTCTATTAAATTCTCGTAACAAAATTTTTTATAGAAATAACTTTAAAAAAGTCTCATACTATATTAGAAAAATCGATTCAAACATATTGTTATAATTAGGTGTTCACTTGTTTTGTATTAATGAAAATAATTTGTTTTACATATTTTACGATCTGTATATGAAATACAGGGAATAGAAAAATATTAACAATGAAACATAATATATATACATATATAATAAATATATGATTGATTGCAATATTTTTATTGGTAAAGGGTTTTGAAATGTCCGTCAATATACATATACAGGGTGACTGGTGAATTACTATCAATATTTAAGGAGAATACTCGGTACATGATTCTCATTCGAATTATGTAAAAAAAATAGGCACTTAATTTTTGACAAAATTTCCGTATAAATAAGTAAAGTGTTGACACGTTCCAAGTGTTCAAGTGTGGACGCGTGCGGCGGCGTGCTGATACACCACTACGTCACGACACGCGTATGTGTGAGTGTCAGTGTATACCTAATCTGTAGGGTGTTCACACGATGCGTAATTAATTACATAACTTTTGGTTAACTTTACTTAGAAGTTTATTAATATTTATGTTATATTAATTTTTATTTCGTCATATATGATCGTCAAATATCACGTCCTCAAATATCGATAGTAATTCACCAGTCACCCTGTATATAAGGTTCAACTGAAACTAATATTATTCGAATTACTACGCGTATTTTATTTTCATTAAAAGTCTTAAATCTCATATAGGGTTCATCGGCGTCTGAATTACTAAGTTCTCAAGACCGTGGCGCGTTAGTGAAGCATGTGTTGGAATCAGCTCGAGCGGAACATGGAGACGAACATGCATTGGAACCAGCGCTTACGTTGAGGGTTGGACAGAGTATTGGTGAGTTGAAGGAAGTTTCAACTATAGAGGAATATATACATAATATAGGTACTTACAAGCTGTCCGGCCGCAGCTTCGCCCGCGTGGAGTTCGGTTATATCGCGTTCCCAAGAGAACCTTACAAAAGTCTGGGATAAAAACTATCCTATGTTATTTCTCAAGGTCAACTCTATGTCTGTACCGAATTTCATTAAAATCAGTTCAGTGGTATAGGCACAGAGTTACTTTCGTATTTATAATATTAGTAGGGATAAAGATAAGTATAGCAAATAGATCGATTCTGATATCAAGGAGTTGATGTTTTAAATAATATTGTTATATACAGGGTGACTGGTGAATTACTATCAATATTTAAGGAGAATACTCGGTACATGATTCTCATTCGAATTATGTACAAAAAATAGGTACTTAATTTTTGACCAAATTTCCGTATAAATAAATAAAGTGTGGACACGTTCCAAGTGTTCCAAGTGTGGACGCGTGCGGCGGCGTGCTGATACAACACCACACGTGTTCACACGATGCGTAATAAATTACATAACTTTTGGTTAAATTTACTTAGAAGTTTATTAATATTTATGTTATATTAATTTTTATTTTGTCATATATGATCGTCAAATATCACGTCCTCAAGTATCGATAGTAATTCACCAGTCACCCTGTATAAAAACTTGATATTATTAATTTATTTATAATAAAATATATGTTTGTAAATGTAATGACAGAAATATTAGCATAACATTCCTCATGATAATCCTAACTTTCAGCTCACATTGCTGTATGATCATTTCATTATTTTTCCTATAATATTTAATATTATTTTATTCTTACTTACATAATTGCCAGATCTCTAAAATCAATGTTCCGTATTCGTTCTTACTATATCAATATATTGCTGTCTATTGTCATCAAAACTATGGATAAACATATTGTATACTTATTAGCATTCCGCCCGCAGCTTCGCCCGCGTGGAGTTCACTTATATCGCGTTTCCAAGAGAACCTTTCATAAATCTGGGATAAAAACTATCCTATGTTCTTTCTCAAGGTCAACTCTATCTCTGTACCAAATTTCATTAAAATCAGTTCAGTGGTTTAGGCGTGAAGCGAACAGACAGACAGAGTTACTTTCGCATTTATAATATTAGTAGGGATCCATATATATATATTAACATGTATATATATATCAGTTCCAGCGTGCGTCAGTCGCGGCGTCATATCAAACATGTTCCCATTACACGAGAGGGCGTCTCTAGACTACTTGCGACAGAAGTGGGTTAAAAGTATTTTCAACCCCCAGCCGTTAGGTATGTTATATTTATATACATTATACTGGTATCATTAATTTTATTTATATACTAGCTTCGCACGCGGTTTCACCCACTTTGTAACATTACGACACGAATAACGAACCATATTATAATATAAAATGCGTTCTTTTTTAGATAAAAGGACTATAAAATACAATTTTCTTTTCAAATTCTACTAGTAATTTCTGAGATGAGCCTGTACAAACAAACAAACAATTTGTATATATTTCCAGATGAAATAAGCGAATATTTCGGTGTAAAGGTAGCCATGTATTTCGCTTGGTTGGGTCATTACACTCAGTATTTGACGGTACCGGCCTTCGTTGGATTCATATTTTGGGTATTTTATGCTTCCTAATATAAATAATATTGACAAATAACAAAGATTTTCATACAATTTTAATATTTTTAGATATGGATCAAAACAGCCGATGAGTATTGGAAGGATATAGCGCATGTACTTTTCTCACTGTTCAATGTTCTATGGGCCTGCGTGTATTTGGAGACGTGGAAAAGGTATGTATAAATTTATAAATATATAAAAAAATAGTTTATATATATAAAACCTTTTTTGTCACAGATTATCAAATGTTCTGGCATATCGATGGGGCACTTTGGACCAAAGAGACGATTTGCTCGTGGAACCCAGGCCGCTGTTTCAGGTGATTCATAATTATTTCGTGTTCCTAATTCAAAATCATATTCTATTAAGATTTGTGTTCCATATTTAAATTTGACAAAGGAATTTTATTTAAATAATTATCAGAATCTATATAACCTCATAATATAACCTATTTTTGAATTTGGAACGCAGGGCGAGATGGGTATAAGTAAGGTGACCGGCCGGCCGGAGCCCCAGTACCCGTCGTGGCGGCGGCGCGTGTGGCGGCATTGTGTGTCGCTGCCCGTTATGATGGTGTGTTTGGCGGTCGCCGCGCTGGCTACATGTGGCTTACTGAGAGCGCAGGTATGTTGAATGTGTGTTTGAGGGCAAGTGCACCATAAAAGACATTTGTATGTGTGAGTATGCGTTACTGTGTATGTGTGGTATAAGCGTTTGTATGTGCGGTGTATATACGTGTGTGTGTGTGCGTGCGGAGGTGCGTTCGTGCGTGCGCGCACATGTTTCTATGTATGCACATGAATTTAGTTTTATTGCAACTATTTATGCTATGATATGTGTCTAATAAGTCTCATGTACTTATTTGATATACATTTTAATGTTTTGTTATGTAAGTGTCTATGTGTATGAAAATACATTGAAAAAATACGTATGAAAATATGTACACACAATAAATATGTAATTATCCCTTTAAATGTACTGATTACTATCAGTAATACACTATACAGGGTGACTGGTGAATTACTATCAATTTTTAAGGAGCATACTCGGTACATGATTCTCATTCGAATTATGTAAAAAAAATACGCACTTAATTTTTGACAAAATTTCCGTATAAATAAGTAAAGTGTTGACACGTTCCAAGTGTTCAAGTGTGGAGGCGCGCGGCGGCGTGCTGATACAACACCACGTCACGACATGCGTATGTGTGAGTGTCAGTGTATACCTAATCTGTAGGGTGTTCACACGATGCGTAATTAATTACATAACTTTTGGTTAACTTTACTTAGAAGTTTATTAATATTTATGTTATATTAATTTTTATTTTGTCATATATGATCGTCAAATATCACGTCCTCAAATATTGATAGTAATTCAGCAGTCACCCTGTATACACTACTGTGTGGCAGTTTTTGTCAATCACTAAATACAACGTATTGTATATATTTGTCAGTCTGTAGTTTGTATCAATTTATTTATTATTTCTTACAGGACTGGTGGGAAGAAAGAATAGTATATCTATCGTTTATACCGAGAGCGTTTTTGGCAATATTGATCGCAGTTGAAGAAGAGGTCTACGCTAGGATTGCGAAATGGCTGAACGATAAAGGTAATAAATGTTTTAATATCATAGTTAGTATTACAATAGATTCTAGATACTTAAATCCTAATTACAGGGCACATTACACAGTAATAGTTTGTTAAACATATGAGAAAATGCACTTACGGAATATATTTATGTTAGTTCTATGCATTCTATTATAGAGTATTTTGATTGAATATTTAAATGTATTTAATTTTAGAAGAATATTTCTGTTTTGGGTCTATTAATTAAGCATATTACAAAGTTACTTATTTCTCTTATGATTTATCGGTACTAAAGTTATTTTAACCCAAGTTGAGATTGGAAGGTAAATAAATATGTGGAATATTTCCAATTAAATAGTTTTAAAAATGTATGAAAAAATAATCGCGTTGGTTTTTTTTTGAATGTCTACTAACCCAGTGTGATTTTTTCTTTATAGCAACATTTCCAAGATCTAAAACATTATGCATGTTACGAATTTCGATAACTTCTAGTTTTAGGTTTAGCACTATAGATAAAAAAATATTTATATAAATAGAATAAAAATAAATATAGTATAGAGTAGTTATTGTAGTTGTATGATATAATATAGCGCATATTTTCTCTTTACCGCTTACCAAAATGGAATGGGAACTACGACGTTTTTATACAGAGAACTATCGACTCGAGACAAAATATGAAAATCATCTTATACTGAAAATAGCATTGGTTTGTATCTATTAATGGGTACTGTCGTAATAATAACGCTTATATATTAATAAGTATAAAATTATAATATAAATGTTCTAATAGATATCGGCTCTGGGCGCACAATCTGTGCTTGCATGTATTTTTTTGTCTATGCACGCATGTATGCCATAGATATTGGATTGATTGTAACATAACAGATTATAACAAAATTTACATCACGACATAAAAATTCGTCATATATAAGGTACATTTAATTAATATATAAATTAATCACATTTAAATAATAAGATAATATTAATCGTGTTAAAGGATTATGTACCTTATAAACATTGGAATACAGTAGAAAGCTTTCGGTGTGTTCCATACATTAAGACGTCCCTATTAAAATGTTTTTATTCTTACAGTTTCAGTTCGTGAATTCGTTCATGAGTTTGTTCTACATCGCCTTCTATTTACAGGATATGGATAAATTGAAAGAGGTACTATATGATTATTATATTATTATTATTCCTACAAACTCTTATGAAATATATATTTTTAGCAACTGGCCGTATTGTTAATTACAAGACAAATAATCGGTAACTTGAAAGAATCCGCGTTACCGTACGTCATAGAAAATGTTAGATTCCACAAGATGTGCTACGAAATATTCGGCATAAGCCCCAGTAAAGGTGAGTAGTAAGACCAAATAATGTTATACCATTTGATATTTTATTAGTTGTAAATTAAATATTATTATTATTAAAAAAATAGTACAAACCCAAAACCAATTATCTGAGCTGTTTGATAAGAGGACGTCGTCATCCGGGGAAGCCCCTGAGGTCAATGGCACCGACGAAAGAAGAGACTCGGATATATCGACTAAAGGAATATACCAGGCTGAGCTTGAATCACAGCTGTTCAAGGTATATATACTATAAAACATTCTTAGAATTATTTATGAACACTTATTATCATCTGAAAGTCGAAATTAGAAGCCAAGAGCTTTAATTCCATGCCCGAATAAACCATCATGGGTTAATACTCTATCAAGTCCTGCAAAGTCCCACAAATCCCAAAGGGTAGTCCTCCAAAGTCCATAGTACTGTACATAATCCTCCAAAGTCCCACAGTACGGTACATAATCCTCCAAAGTCTCACAGTACTGTCCATAATCCTCCATAGTCCCACAGTACTGTACATAATGTTCCATAGTCTCACAGTACAGTACATAATCCTTCAAACTCCAATACTACTGTACATAATCCTCCATAGTCTCACAATACTGTACATAATCCTCCAAAGCCCCATAGTAAACATTAAAGTTCATCGTATTTTTCAGTACGAGGGCACGTTCGCGGAATACCTAGAGATGTTGACTCAGCTGGGTCACGTACTGTTGTTCTCGACCGCCTTCCCGCTGGCAGCTTTATGCGCGCTCGTAAATAACACGTGTGAAGTACGGGCGGATGCGTTCAAACTTTGCCACGTGGCGCAGAGACCGTTCGGGGAGAGGGTCAGCAATATAGGTAGCTGGCAGGTATGATATTTTTATATATATACATAAAAATTTTGTGTCACGTGTTTGTCCGCGATGGACTCCTAAACTACTAAACCGATTTTAAATTTGATTTGCATTCCGTGTGCATTTTGATCCAACTTGAAAGATACCATAGCTTACATTTAAATTTATAGTCACAATATTATTTTATTGCAAATTATTTGTCTACTAAAGAAAATTATTTGTCATTATTACAATTATCTGTTGACTGAGTTAAGTATTCAATAGATGACGCTATGTTAAAAATACAAACGTTATATATGAGCGACTATTTAATAATAGCATAACCACCACGTGTTTCTGAGGCTAAGGTATAACCTAAAATTATTTATTAAAAAAAGTAACAGATATTTCTTCATTATAGGGCGATACGAAGTTCGCCGGGTCTTCTAGTATATCAATATATTCATATATTACATATAGATGGTTTTTTATGCGAAATGAGGCAAAGGAATAAACGGCCTACCTAATAGAGGTAGTACCGTCGCCCATAGATATCAATATTGATTTGTGGATGTATTACCACACTTGATTGGGGAATAGGGGAAAAGGTGGGAAAGGATGGAAAAGGGGGGAAGGTCAGGAAAGGGTGGTAAAAGGGAAAGGGAAACGATGTAGATGGTTAAATGAAACTAATGTTTTCTGATTATTACGCGTATTTTTTATTTTCAAAACTAAATGTTCCTGATTTTTCGTGATCCAGACAAACGATATTTTTTTAATAATCAAATTCCTCTAGTAATCCGAAGATATTAGTTTCATTTAAATGTATACTCGCGGTAGTCTTAAATCTCGTTACATGTAGAAAGTTTATAAACTTAATTTAGAACTTTTATAAACTTAATTTAGTAAGTAGTACTTTTCTGTGTTTCGTTTAAATTCTAAAACGGTCGGTTTTAAGTGAATGGTATGAGTTTCTTTCTAGAATATTGATATATATTTTATAAGTACTATCGTATGATTAATAATATAGTCTTCCTTTTAGAAAAAGAGTTCTCCGTTTTGCCAAAAATAGTACACAAAATTGACAGAGTTATGAGTCAAAATAATTTAAACAGTAAAGCAGTACTAGCATATAACTTTTAAATTTGAATTTACATAATATGTACATTGAAGATTTTGGTAGATTCATACAATTAATTTAACATCGTTAACATATTTTTATCTTCTGCTTCTACCTGTCAATTTCCCAGCTTTAGCCAGGGTCTATCTGTTAACATATTTTTATATAATAATAGTTATATTATTATATTTCCAGCACGCCATGGAGGCTATGGTGTGGTTGTCTGTGTTGGTGAACTGCGCCCTGATCGGTCTGTCGGGTCCCATGCACCGACTGCTGCCCGGGGCTTCGGCCTCACAGACCGTACTAGGGATTGTTGCTTTGGAGGTACATCTTTATATATATAATTTTTCTATGAGTGTGTATGTCACTGAACTTCTCTCAAACGACCGGAACGATTTTGATGAAATTTTTTGTGTGTGTTCAAGGGGATCTGGGAATTGTTTAGATTCACAATTTTTTTTAAATCAATTTTTAATTTATTAGTAGTTGTTGATATAAACGTTTTTTTGACATAAGATTTGACAACTAACTAATATGTCAATCATTCTGTCGCACTTCAAAACACGGAGATTTATGGCTTTAATAGGTAAACTCCAAAAATATAAATAAAAAAACGTAACAGATATTTCTTGATTATAGGGCGATACGAGGTTCGCCGGGTCTTCTAGTATACATACATAATATGACATATACATTGGTTAATTAAAGTGTGATTATGTAACTGGAGTCTATTATCTTGTACTGTATCAATTATTTCGATTGTTTTTGTTACTTATAAGACGACTCGTCAAAATGCAATAATTTATTATGTATTTCAATATGAAAGAAAATGCATAATATATTGAACAAATATCACGTATACTAAACCTTACATGTAAAAAGTGATTTTATTATAACATGACTGTAGTTGGGACTACTGCTTTGTTATCAAAATCTAAGTATATAATATATAAGTTCTGCTACCAAATTATAGACCTGCCCACATCATTCTACAAATTATTCTGTAAGTCAATAAGATAGTTTTATTCTATACAATTATTATCTATCCACAGCACGTTATCCTGGTAATAGTTCTGTGTCTGCGCCTGGCTATACCTGAAATCCCTGGTTGGCTCGCTACGGAAATGGCAAAGGTTGAATTCCAAAGGCGAGAGGCTATTAAAAACGCACATGCACCGCTACTGGTGAGTTAAATAACATTTGTATTAATAATCTTTATATATAGAAGAAAGTACTGTTAGTTACACTATTCATAACTCAAGAATGGCTGTTCGGGTTTGGCTGAAAATTAGTGGAGACTTAGCTTAGAACAAAATAAAGGACATAGGATACTTTTCATCCGAGTGCAAAAAAAAATAGTTGATAAAATCCAGAATCTTCTTATCTACTGTCTTTAAGAAGGAATAGAGTTTGCCTAGCTATACATTTCTTTTTCTGAAACGAATGCAGACGAAGTCGCGGGCAAAAACTAGTATATAATATAAATTATATGTACCATACAAAAATCCGAACCCGGAACTACTGCGATATCGAATTTCAGTTGCTTCACAAACTGAACTATCATGTCCTGACTAATTGAAACATGTTATATATTTTTACTTCATATGTTAGAATTGCCATATATTAAATATTCTTAAGGTAAAAAATATAATCTTAATAATCCATAATTTTCACTAATATTATTGTTATATACAAATTAAATAACATTATCTTGATATTTTGTCAGTCCGAAGGCACAAGTTCAGACGACATCCGCCGCACGCCGAGTATCACCCCCACTACTCCTAAACAGGACCGGAAAAAGATCTGTGTAGGGAAGATACCGGAAATACCACCCTTCAGGTATGATATAATATAAGGAACGGTTTACACTAACACATATAAGGTCTGAACAGAGTGATTGAATTTATATCAGATTATAATACTTGGTACTTTGGTTTTAATACAAAGTTTCTTCTCTACTACTATAGTTGGGAAAAGAATTTTATTAATTCAATAAGATAGTTTGGTTTGTTATACAATATCAGTAAGAATATAACAAGTATTTAATATATAATGAGGCTTTAACTTATACAGTTGTGATTTAAGAGTTTTATATACACATTTGAAATATATTAATATATTAAAAGGTCATGTGGCTTATGTTAAGTATGAAATGCATAAGCACAGAGTAATGAAATCCAAAGAGATTGCTATCAATGATTCTCTCTCAGACATTAATTACTCTGTGTACATAAAGTAGTTCACTAGATATCATATTATAGGTTTCATGTATTTTTTATATTTTTGTTTTCAGTTAATTTGACACAAGTATTTGCCTGGATGGGTGTGTAGTTACAGAGTATATATATCATTCCATTATGTCAGTATTTTATCTATTCGCTTGTTATTTATAATTGTATTTATTAATTTTGTTTTGCAATAAATTTTTATCTAGCTACTCTGTAGTTTTTCTTGGCTTAGCCTAGGTGGACCCGTTTGATAAAAGAATTATGTTAGTGTTATATACTTATAAGACACGGTACAAAGTAATTGGAACGAATAACGTTGCCAAAAGGTATTTTATTCCGTCCTACGCTTGAATTTGCTGAGACCATTTCTTTACTATTTCTTAAACTATATTAATATCAACACTTATATTATATTGAGTAGTATCGAACTATCTCTTCTTCATAGATCTTCTACTTCCTATGTTCACATATATTTCACTGAAACACATTTTCCCTCGCTTTCCCTATTTGCTTATTTTATTATATGTATTAAATATTGCCTGATTATGTTATAATTTCAGACCTAAAGCCGCTTCTATAACAGAACCGTCTGTGACTAGTGGATCTTTACAAATATTACAGGATGTTAGCCCCACAAAACCTATACCGCGACGGAAGGTAAATAACACATGTATATTCCATATATTAATTATATATGTATGTTGTTTAAATGATTCGAAATTGATGATGGATGATGGTATCGAAATAGATGATGATGATGATGGAATGATTAAAATCCCTAGTAATATTATAAATGCGAAAGTAACTCTGTCTGTCCGTCTGTTACGGTTTCACGCCTAAACCACTGAACTGATTTTAATGAAATTTGGTACAGAGATAGAGTTGACGTTGTCAAAGAACATAGGATAGTTTTTATCCCAGACTTTTGAAAGGTTCTCTTAGAAACGCGATATAACCGAACTCTACGCGGGTGAAGCTGCGGGTGTAAAGCTAGTATATCATAAGTGTAATAGGGTATGTGATGGTTATTGTTTATAGTGCAAATACTAGCATCTAAATTGGGGGTAGAATATTAAATGTAGGTTTATATAGCACTAGCTTTTGCCGCGACTCCGTCCGCGTGGAATAGTGACTTCCGGCAGATTTTTGGTTCTTCCCACATAGTTCCCGTTCTTGCGGGGTTTTCGGAATGGTCGAGTTCCCGTAGAATTTTCAGGATAAAACCTTTGTTTTTTTATTCACAATAAAGTACACTTAACCAACAACATATTTCTTTGTTTATTTAAATAAAGATTAATATTATTATCTGGATACAACTTAAATAAATTATTTCTACCAAATTAGGTACCATAAAAACGGTTTTTGTGAGTTAATCTTAAAAGATAGATATATACTATCGGGGACTGTTTTTTAGATCATTAAAAGAGCTATTATTCTTTAATAAATATTTTTTGTGTATCTTGAACCGTTTTCACGGCGCACGCAACGGAAGGCTTCAAAGATGAAATAATTTCTCCCGTTTTTTACACATTTACCACTATATCTTTGCTCCTATTGGTCGTAGCGTGATGTTATATAGCCCACAGCCTTCCTCGATAACTGGACTATCCAACACAAAAAGAATTATTCAATTCGAACCAGTAGTTTCGGAGATTAGCGCTTTCAAACAAACAAACAAACAAACAAACTCTTCAGCTTTATAATATTAGTAAAGATTATGTATATAAGTATATAATAAGGTAATAATGTCTGTATGTATGTTACAGCAGGAAGGTCTGTCTCTACTCGGTGTACGCGGTCTTCGTGACGAGCCTCTACACCGATCAGCTCACTGCATCCCACACCCGACACGACCGCTCGCCAACCCCACGCTACAGGTGACATGCACGCACGCACGCACACACGCACGCACGCACGCACACGCACACATACATACATACATGTAGAAATGTGTATAGATTTATGAGTTTTTCTTTATACTGTAATGATATTGTTTATCTGTAGTTTGTCGTACATATACGAGTATGTGTGTGTAGGAGCGTCAGGAGGATGACTCATGGCGATCTCGGCTTTTCATATCCATCATGGGCGTTGTAACGATTGGAACTCATAAATAAAAGTACACTAGTACTGTCCAATATCTAATTACTCGATTTCTTTACAACTGTATTTAAAATCACATTCAAGTAATGAGATGAAAATGGATTATGAGCACTAGGCTTGTACACTTCGTTGTACAGCTGTCCATAGCATAATGGCCGCCCTCACTCTTAGTGATACTCACCGCGCTATTCAGCCTTTGCCACTCATAATTTTTATGAATCAAATCGACTGAATTATGTGCTAATTACGTTTATTATTAGACTGATCCAAAATCTACGCGCCGTCATATATATAAAAGAAAGTCGTGTTAGTTACACTATTTTTTAGTCAAAAACGGCTGTACGGATTTGGCTGGAAATTTGTACGGAGGTAGTTTGGAACCAGGAGATGAACATAGGATACTTTTGAATTCGTTGGACAAGAAAAAAATTGCAAGTAAATTCGAAAATCTGTTTATTTACTGCTTTTAAATCGAAACAGTTCGCCTAGTTAGCTATACATTTCTATTAATGAAAGAATCGTGTACAAAGTCGGGAACAAAAGCTAGTATGTATATATATTAAATATTTATCAGGAGTTATCCGGCGGCCCGATAGCCGGTTCAGAGCCTGATCTGAACGCTTCGGTGACTCCGTCAATGGACACGAGCGCTTCCAGTGAAGATGATAGGCCGAGGGACAAGGAGAAGGATAAAAGCAGTTAGTATTATGTATAATTATATGATTAATATTATAAATTCATACATATTAGTTAGTAAAGGGAGCGTTCAAGTATTACGTAACGCAATTTGGGGGGAGGGGGGGTCTCGTAAAACGTTACGATGCGTTACAGGGGCGGGAGGGGGTGTCTCTTATAAAACGTTACGTAGCATTGTTTCTAAAAAAATATTAATAAAAATCCCCAAACTCTCAACTCTTTTCATATACGTTACATTATGTTGACCAGATTGTATTAGTCTGGTCGATATTTTTATTTGTTATTCCAAGTTTGCAAACCTCTTAATTGATATTTTACGGGGAATACCTAGATTGCATTGTAAGTCTTTTAATGTTGCTTCCGTGGTCAGTATTCGTTAGTGTTCATCCATGAGTTCATAGTTTTCATACTGTTATTTCTTCAGAAGAGGGAGATTTGTGTCAATGATCTTTTTTCATTTAATAGATTAAAACTACATATATCAAACTATTACATGTTGTTTTACGACTTTGAATGAAATTGATCACTCGAGTATTACGTAACGTTTTGAGAAGGGGGGGGGGGCTACAGAAAAACGTTACTGTGCGTTACGAGGGGGGAAGGGGGGGTCAAAAATCTTCAAAAATTGCGTTACGTAATACTTAAACGCTCCCAAAGCTACTAATAAAGGTTATTTTTGTTTTCGCGAATTATAGTGCGTAGTGATGATAGAGCTTACGGTCCCTTGGGAAACCAACATCCCCAAAGACCATACCATCAAGGTCAACAAATATTACGAGCTCACTAACGAACTCACTCGAAATAGGTTCGTAGTAGATTTGTACGCGGTAGAGGTGGGAGCGAGAGGTATAATAGCTAAATCTCTCTATAACCTAGTAAAAAACATGGGCTTGTTCAGAACTAATCAATTCATTCTTGGAACGTACTTAAAGCAGCCCTAGTAGGTTCTTTTCAAATTTGGTTAGGTAGGGAGAGGAGCTTGGACAGTGGAGGTGAGCGTTTAATGCGCGTTAGATAGGGTCCCTTAAACCTTCACTTGGGTCGCAAGTCCCAGTCACTGTTGAAGCTCCTCTCACTACAACGATGGACCCGACATCTATATAGTGAATACATTTAATGATGAGAAGTTTCATCTCTGTTTTAAAAGAAATTTTATTTCTTTGTGTATTTTGAATATATTATCTCTATATATCTCATATATTTCCAGGTCGTTCTCGCGCTAAGGCGGCGCTAGTGAAGCGCGTTCGTTCTGTGGCTGTGTTTTCATTGGGTCTACGGCGGGCAAGGGAAGCGGCTGCGGCTCATGATGCACAAGACACACATACACCACATACACCTGTGAGTGACGAATAAAACAGTATTACATACTATGTATAAACTGGCTAAGGTTCATATATGTATAGTGGGGAGGACTAAAAGTGCACACTTTTGACGCTTATCGATTATAGAAACTGGTAATAGTGACGCAAAATATGGGTCCAATTTAACTGCTCGCAAATGCACTCGGGTAAATCCAGTCAAACGAAACAGTGCTACATACTGCTATTAACTTGGAAAGGTTCTGATATAGTGGGGGATAAGTTTGTCCAAGTACACTGAATGGGAAAAAAAGTGCACACTTTTCTTGCTTATTGATAGTAGAAACTGGTAATAGTGACGCAAAATATAGATAGGTCCAATTTAAGTGCTCGTAAGTGTACTCGGTAAAATCAATACCAGCAAAACAGTTTTACATACTGCTATTAACTTGGAAAGGTTTTGATATTGTGGGGATATGATTGCGTATGTACACTATATGCAACTAAAAGTGCACACTTTTGATGTTTATCAACAATAGAATCTTGTAATAATACAAAATTTATGAGTCCATTTTAAATGCTCGCAAGTGTATTCGAGAACATCCAATCACATATGATACCTAAAAATCGAGTCATCTCTTGGCAAGTTAATGCCGGTTACTATATATGACTTATGATAGCCCATAGTTGCCGGCTTTGGAACGTAATACGTATAGTGTTCAACGGGCCTTAGATCATTAATGATCGAATAACAAATACATGTGAAGAATTTTTATTTATAAGCTTAGTATATCTGTTTTATTTTCACGTATGTTTACACAGGGTCCACCGGCGCCTATGTTGGGTGGGGAGCTATCTTTGATACCTATAGAGCAGCTCATACAATTGGACGACGTGAGGCCGCGGCATAACCACACGTAGGTACACGACACGACATTACGACACGACATACGACACGACCGGACTGTTTGGATTCCATATTAATGATTATTAATGTAACATAACTTTATTATGTTTATTTTCTTCGTACATTTTTAAATTTGGATTATGTGTTATCAAAAAACTATTGTAATTACAATACAAACAACCCAAACCTATATAACCTCCTTTGATTTATTTTTTTATAATAAAATATGATAATATGCTTATTCTACACATTCCATTTATTTTAGTTTTATATTTTTTAACCAAAATATTTTGTTATACTTATAACAGCAATATGCATAAAAAAATAATTTTGAATTGCTGATGAAAAATTTTTTTTTTCTCTAAGAATATTTCATACAAACAGTCCGGTAATTATCGGATAATTTACTATAGAATTTAAATGTACTTCAGTTAAATAAGGGATACAGCGGGGAGTAAGAAACAAAAATGTAATGTGGCTTTTATTTTCATTCATTTATAGTTCATATTCCAATAACTCGCAATAATAGTTGTATAAGTCATAACCAATAGTTCAGTTTGTAGAATTTAAAACAAAGGTTTAGGAGAAATGAAAGAACAAAGTTGAGACATACATGATATTAATGAATATACCAATCGGCGGTATTTTGAAAAAGTTTTTTAATGAGAAATTTTTGTATGAATTTTTCAATGTTGTTGATGTGTTCGTTTAAAACGCAATTGTTGTAAAGCAAAAATTGTTTGTCAATGCTTCCGTAATCAATGAGCAATCTTTTGACAATAAGTTGAACGTTCGAAGACCGGCGACACTTATTGTTAGAACGCTAGAATATAGATGGTGTATAGAAATAGATTTAGTTACAAATTATTTTCTACTAATAAAGTTACAGTGAAATTGTTGTTTAGGTATTAATTTAATTTTAGCTTCCAATGTCGTCTGGTTATAGTCCCGTCATTTAATATCTCTATATATGGTGAATCTTTCTCAAAACACTGCTTTTTCAATAGAACATAAGAGAGACATACAATATAAAATGTTAAAACACCCTGTATTGATAATTGAAATAACAATAATGCAAGCAAACTATTCGGATATTAAAAGGTCATATAAACATATTATATATGATTATGTTTTGCGTAGTTCTGTTTCGATTGTTTTAATATCTGTTTAAAATAATATAAAAGTTTCAAAGATGTTTCAGAATGACGTCCATCTATTGGTTAATTTAATTTGTTTGAATTTGATTTGTTGAAAATGGCGGCTTTGCATCTTTTGAAATTTGTTTCGTTGCTTTAATTTGTAGGAAATTATTAAGGTTAACCCTACATTAAGTTTTGAATCAAAATAACTAAAAAGTTAGTTATTTTTAATTCAATTAGTTGCGAGTTGTTCTAAATTTTGTGCAAAAAAATATATATGTACCTAGTTTTCAAAGTTTTTTACTGATGCCGCACCAGTCAATTATTAAAAGCATAAACTTGCATACGAAGTGAAGATTAAATTGATAATGTCTGATTTCTCAAAATCTTTTAAAATACTTAACATATTTGTTTCAGTTGTCAATTTTATGAAGCGTTTCCGTTTATCTTAATAGTCATAAATAAACAAAAAAATATGACTGAGAATGGAAAATTGGGCTTCCGATATGTAAAACAGTGCAGCTATATTATTCTCAATAACTGTCTTTGTACAATTAACTTAAAATTTCCATTAAACGACGTTTATAACCTCAAATATTACCGGCATAATTATTTTTATCCCATCAACTGTCATATTGTATTAGAAACAGTTGCCAGTTAAAATAATTATAATTTTAGCGTCACGATAGCTGTCATCAATAGTGGAATATTTTTAATGGTAAGGATGCACTTCACTTGGCGTTTATTTGTTGTGTTCGGCCAAATAAGACCATGTGTGGAGGATTTATTCGTCTCCATTTGACATATTTGCACAAATAAGCGAAAATGCATAGAGACGTGTTGTTGGCATGCCAAGTGTGGATGTCGTGTTTGCGCTATTTGGACTACGTACAAATATTTCGACAAATGCGGCGAATACGCAACGCCAAGTGAAGTGCCACCTTATAATAATGTTCTAATTTACATTGTAAACAATTAATTATCCCAGAATGTTCAATATGGCTTAGGAAATATTGAGTTAGAATCGTAATATAGCGATATTGTATGTTGTTTTAGCATTCAGATATGTTAGTGATTTGAGATGCTTTATTCTTATTAGTGATGCGTTTTAGCGAATATATTTGTTATGTAATTTATTTTTTATACTGAATATTGATGAATGTTGCATTTTGAGTAGGATATAAATTTTACGTTTGCAAAATTATGACGTTGTTTTATTTCTCCCTTTATATGATAATTAAACATGTTTTATACTATTGAGTGTTTTGTCTGAATTAGAAAATTTAATTATAACCTAAATTTCAGAGGAATGTCTTAATTCCGCGTCATCGCGGAGTCCAAAATTGTAAATAAATAAGTGTATAACACGAACAGAGGCAAAAATAATTGGTGGCGTCCAAATGTATAAATTAATCAATGATTAGTGTGGACTAAGACTCGCGAGTATTTATTTAAATGAAATGAATACGGATTACTACGTGTATTTTATTATTTTTAAAAAACAACATACTCCCTACGTTTTGGTTACTTTTTATCAACCGTGATCACGGATAAACGAGATGTGAATGTCTGCTGTTGGCCCGTTGATGTAATATAACCGGAACGTCGGGAGAATGTAGTTTTTGATGAAAATAAAAACCGCGTAGTAATCCTAAAAATATTAGTTTCATTTAAAAAGTATGAACGTATTAAACAATTAAGCAGAATTTAATATTTCTCACACAATAATCTCACAACACGGAGTTGTAATTAGGAGTGATATTAATATTTTTCGAACTTAAATTCCAAAATATAAGTTTCATTTTATTTCTTTTTTTCTCCGTTTCACAGGACATGAAATAATATGTAAAAATGAGGTTGGTGTCTTTCAGGATAGAATTTAAACGAAGAGTTTCAATCATTGATTAAAGTTAAATGAAAGTATGTTTTTAGAGTACTACGCATTTTTATTACTTTACAATTTATATCTACATAATCCTGACGTTTGGGTGCCTTTACAGCAACCGTGATCACAGGCAGACGACATGAAAGTCTTTTATTTCGTCTCCGTAACCTTTTAAACCTTACTTTAATTTAAATGAGTACTTGCGCAAATTTTAGATATTATGGATAAAGATTTTATAAATATGGTAAACATTTTAACTTTTCGACTATGGTCGCAGTTTTGTGTCTGAGAGAAAAATAGATTTTATTTATACTAATGCTTCCTCAAAAATTTTACCCTTATTTTTAATACATAAAATTTTTTAGAATTAATATATGTAGTTGTTTTTTCAGTTTTTATTAAAAAGATAGAAGTAAATACAAAACACTTTCGTTCGATTTAACACGAAATGACAAACAAAAAATGTATAATGAAATAATTTTTGTAATATATAAATAGTATGTAAAATATGCAAACCTTCACTATGCTGTAATCTATTATTATGATATCAATAAAATTATATAATCTATTGTGACTTTGACAACACATTGTATTTTATAGAAAATGGCGGTTGTTGTATAGAGTCTTACTAGGCCGTTTGATTTTAGGATGCAAATATACAACAATTGAATATGTTTGAAAACATAGTTCTATAAAGGATAACTTACTTTGTTATCAGATTATTTGAACATATTATATTTGAGGAAATAATATATATTGAACACATAAAAATAATTATTTATTTGACAAGACAAAAACGCGGTATTTTAAGTGAAAGAGTGTGTATAAGTTTATTTGTAAATAATATAAAGGTGGTATATAAAATATACAAGTGTTCATGTTGTGATGTTTTGTGTCGGTAGTGATTGTTGTTATTATTTAGCGTATATCCGGCGTCAGTGATGTGTTGCTAGGAGCTCGTATCACAACAATGGGTGAAACCGAAGAATTCAATACTTTAGCATTCGAAAAGAAGCTCACACAGCTGAAGGATACACAGGAGAGTATCCAGTCTCTGTCTAGCTGGTGTCTGAAACAGAGAAGTCACCATAAAAAGATAGTTTCCAGTTGGTTGAATGTGTTGAAGAGAGTGAAGGTGGAACAGCGACTTGTGTTGTTTTATTTAGCTAACGATGTTATTCAATATAGCAAAAGGAAAAATTATGAGTTCGTTGAAAGCTGGGGTCTTAATTTGCAAAAAGCTACACCACTAGTCAGGTTAGAAAAATACAAATATTATTTCCAAATAAAATATCTTTTAAGAATTTCATCCCGCTTAATTAGATTCTTATAAAATTTTAAATTATTCTCGCAACATAATAAAGGCATTATAGTATTGTTGATATATTTTATATAACTATAATTTTATTAGTACCTAACCCTCAAATAAACAAATTTATAAACTTAACCTAGGTTTATTAAATATTTTCTCAAATATTACAGAGATGAGAAAGTCAGGCCGAAGATATTGAGGATATTCAAAATCTGGGAACAAAGATCAGTTTACGATGATGAGTTCTTATCAGATCTCACGGGTCTATTAAGTGCCGGGGCTGTTAAAAAGACTGATGATGATCCATTGGATTTTCAAGTAAGTAAACTTAAATCTAGACATTTACGTTATATAATCTGTTTAATTTTTAATATACTACACAGTATTACCATAATTCACATAATATAGTGGCAACAAATAATATGAAATTTAAATTAAACTAATATTTTTCGGATATAAGTACTTGCGGTTTATGTTTGTAAAATTACATACTACCCTTTTTAAAAATAAACCATATAGTATATCCAACAAATATAAGTTTCATTTAAATGAATAAAACTTGTGAAAGTTATAGATCTTATTAATTATATAAAATGTTTTCTTAAATTGTTTAAATTATTTAACAGTTTATTCATATTAATCAATTAAATTTCAATATAAAATCTATGGTTACTTTATGATACCACTTTCCAATCAATATAATCTGTTGTAATTATTATATTAAAACTTTTTTCATTTTCAGCCTCAACAATTAGTCAACAAGATAAAACAGTGTACTGTATTAGAAGCGGACACTCAGGTGAAATTGAAATGTATATTTAATAATCCATTAGAATTGTCAGATGCGGATGTATTATGTTCAAATTTAAAAGGTAATTGTCTCTACTATACATATAAAATTAAAAATACATATAAAAAATACTATACCTTGAGATATCATATATTGCTTTATATTTTGTTTTAATGTTAAATTTACATAGCAATGATATCAGGAATTGTATTGTAGTATAATACTAGAATATTCCTCTTTAATTCATGCTTACTATAATTTATTTTTGATATATTATAATTAGATATTTATTAATATTAAAATTATTTATATTTCAACAGAGAGAAGTACTAAGGATGATGTAGAAAAGGAACTAAATGAAGGCATACAATGTGTTGAACGATATACACAAGCATTACAGAGGGAAATAGTTGCTCGAGAGGCATTACTAGCTTTGTTGAGTTCAGCCAACCAATACTACTCAACGCAGAGGGGAGAAGTAAAAGTTGTGGCATATGTGAGCATTTAATTTTGTTTGCACTTATAAATATTTAGCATGATATAAATATTTGATTCTGAAATTATGGTGTCTTGAGCTCAAAAGTAACATAAGTGTTACATTTTAAATTTGTCATATGTTTCAGTCTTTTTTCTCATTAAATCTTGTTTTTCACTTTTTTTAATCATGTTAATTAAAAATATATTACTGTTAATTTGGACCAAATTTTTTATAGTAATATTATGAAAACTGTCTGTATGCTTGATATGATCAAAAAATATATTGAAATGTAATTATAATATACTGAAATGTAACAATAATAATAAAAAATATGAGAAATTATGATACTTAGGTTTCAATAGAAAATTAGTATCAGAAATATAGACAAATAGTACACAGTTAATTATAATTGTGTTGTGTTGTGTTGTGTTGTGTGTTACAAACTAGGTAGAAGCATAAAAAATATATCCATGAAATATCAATATTTTAATTTAAGATTTTGTAACATACAAATATTATCTGAAAAATTTTGAGTTACATACAAATTATATATACCATCAATTTTTTTAAATATTAATATATGAAATTAATTTCAAGGCATACAAAAACTTCGGTTCCCGCGTCCGCGCTCTCAAACGCAAGTTAGATGAATTATTACCAACACTACCGAGTGCACCATCACCACCTACTAGAGATGAAGATGTACCTTCACCGGGACCTGATGAGGATTTGGAACTACCCACCAACGATGCTGAAGGTATATTCAAGGCCTATAGAGACAGTGTAGATTAAAACAATATATATAATATATTACTAGCTTTCCGCCCGCAGCTTCGGCCGCGTGGAGTTCGGATATATCGCGTTTCCAAGAGAACCTTTCATAAGTCTGGGATAAAAACTATCCTATGTTCTTTCTCAAGGTCAACTCTGTTTCTGTATCAAATTTCATCAAAATCAGTTCAGTGGTTAAGGCGTGAAAGCGTAAAAGACAGACAGTCAGAGTTACTTTCGCATTTATAATATTAGTAGGGATGTTACGCTCAAAGATCAAAAACGCTCAGTGAACGTAAAAATGGCTCATAACGCGTTCTGGTGTGAGTAAAATCCTCACCGCGAAATTCGTGTTATGGCTTACATGCTATACGATCAAAACGCGTTCTGGCAATGAAGAAAAGTTTATATGAAAATAATGTAATTGTTTCAGTATAACATATATAAATATTATTGACAAGAGGCTCTAAAGTGTAATGTAATTAAGTATATTATGTTTTACATTACACTTTATACATATAATATTTTATTATCCTCTAGTACATTCTATAGAAAATATATGAAATTAATATAAATGTTATATAATAATTTATTAATATTAATTCCAGTATCATACAACATTGATCAAACCTTCAATACATCAGTATCGGCCGATGGGTCCTTGTATAACCTGGGATTATCATCGTTCCTCAATGACAGTTCCATGGCTATATTCAATGAAAGCCAAGTGGATTTAAATATTGGTATGTCATTTTTTATTTTACTAATATAATTAATTTTCTATTATTATTTATTATTACAGAAAAAATCAAGTTTATCCTTCCAATATCATAAATATAGGACAAGAAATTAAAGTGTAAAATTTACATTTGATTAAGATTGGTTAGCAATCATATTTTTATTATAAACAATATACATATATTTCTACTGTGTGTATGTCACTGAACTCTTAAATGGCTGAACTGATTTGAATGTTTTGTATGCATTGTGTCACCTAATTATAGCTAAAATACACATATCAACTTGGCAGTGTACTCTGCAGTCGGTTTAAAGTTTGTTTAAAAGGAAAATTCAGTATGATAGGAATGATATACGTATTGTTTTAGCATATAACATATCTGACCGCAGCTTGAATGGAGTCGTGGGTAAACACTAGTATAGTACATGTTGTATGTTTCCAGTTAATAGCAGCATTAACAGCAGCATACAGCCAGCTACACTTCCAGGATTGGACCTACTTAAGGAATCCAACCCTCCACCACCAACGTCGTTCTATGGGACCATGGAAACTATCACAAGTATGTATAATATATTATTTTTTTATGTGCGATATATATATACTAGCTGCGCCCCGCGGTGTTGCCCGCGGATTTCCGGGATGTAAAGTAGCCTATATATTATTCCTGGACGTCAGCTTCCTGTATACAAAATTTTATCAAAATCGGTTCAGCCGTTTGAGCGTGAAGAAGTAACAAACATACACACACACTCACAAACTTTCGCAATTATAATATTAGTAAGATATAATTATTACAGTCTACATAAGTTTTGTGAATTCATGTTGCAGTCATTGTAGACTTCTAAATGTGAAAATATGTAAATTAATACAATGTTATATATTTCAGTTCCCGATGAACCTGAACAGCCATATTTACCAGAAGCTGTGGTCACAAACAGTCAATGGGGAAATAATACTTGGAATGTACCACTTGTAAGTTATATATAACATTTACATACACACATATATTTAATTCTTACATCTCCAAGTTTAGTATAAAGAATTATTTGATTAGTTTTAGTTTTTTATGATATCCCCGAGGATATTTAAGCGTCGGCCTTCAGATAAGATATTTTTTTTTTTCGCGAATTGTAAAGCGCGTAGTGATAGAGCTTACGGTTCCTTGGGAAACCAACATCCCCAAAGACCATACCATCAAGGTCAACAAATATTACGAGCTCATTAACGAAATCACTCGTAATAGGTTCGTCGTAGATTTGTACGCGGTAGAAGTGGGAGCGAGAGGTATAACGAAATCTCTCTACAACCTACAAAAAGACTTGGGCTTGTCCAGAACTAACATTAATTCATTCTTGGAACGTACGTCTAAGGCAGCCTTGTAGGTTCTTTTCAAATTTGGTTAGGTTGAGGGAGGAGCTTGGACAGTGGAGGTGAGCGTATAACGCGCGTTAGATAGGGGTCCCTTAAACCTACACCTGGGTTTCAAGTCCCAGTGACTGTTGAAGCTCGTCTCCCTGCAACTATGGACTCGACATCCGCACGGTGAATACATTGAATGATGAGAAGTTTCGTCTCCCATAAAATGTTGTTAATTTGGTCCACATTCAATATTTGTTATCATGTTGAAAAACTACTAACGTACTTTAAAAAATTGAGATATTCTGAATAAATTTAATGATATGAAACAAGATAAAACCTCTTAGTTTATAAGTTCCACTTTCATACATATACAGGGTGACTGGTGAATTACTATCAATATTTAAGGAGTATACTCGGTACATGATTCTCATTCGAATTATGTAAAAAAAATAGGCACTTAATTTTTGACAAAATTTCCGTATAAATAAATAAAGTGTTGACGCGTTCCAAGTGTTCCAAGTGTGGACGCGTGCGCCGGCGTGCTAATACAACACAACGCCGCCGCACGCGTGTGTGTGTGTATGTGTACACCTAGTCTGTAGGGTTTTCACACGATGCGTAATTAATTACAAAACTTTTGGTTGACTTTACTTAGAAGTTTATTAATATTTATGTCATATTAATTTTTATTTTGTCATATATGATCGTCAAATATCACGTCCTCAAGTATCGATAGTAATTTACCAGTCACCCTGTATGTCAGCCTATTAACTTTGAAAAAAAAAGTTTTTTAATCAAAAATTACAAATGTTTCGTATATAGTGTAACAAATCAAATTTTTGGTGGAGGAATAGTATAATAAAAATAGTATATAAAAACTCCATTATGTCGATTATTTATATATTAAATCGGTTATTAAGAAAATATAGTAGTTAATGGAATAGGGTTGTTCAATAATTTGTATTTATATGTTTACTCTGTTTCTTCTTCTTCTTCCTGGCAATTTCCCAGCTTTAGCCAGGGTCTGCCCAGTGTTTGTTGTGTTTGTGTGTAGTGAATCTGTGTTAGTGTGTGTCTGTGTGCGTCTGTATGTGTATCTCTATATTTTTATGTATGTTGTACGTGTGTGTCTTTGTATTTATCAATATCATTTTGTTTTTCAGCCGGCGGCAAGAAACGTATTCGCGGAGCCCCCCGCTTCACCGCCCGTGCCTATACGAACAGACAAACAGGTGATTCAATAGTATATACATAAATTATATTATAAAAATTGTAGTATAGATGGTTGATTTATAATTACATTTTAAAATATGGTTAAAGCTTTTTTTATCAATACGTAGGTAATATCTCAGGATATATCCGCGTCTGAACGTGAGCTTCGCAGTCGCCTGCCACCACCGCCGCCGCCTCCTGTACTGCCAGGTCTTACACGTGAGTACATACACACACACAGACAGACAAACACATACACACACAAACACGAACAAAGACACACTAAACAACACAGAATCACACACACAATCAAACAGAGATACACAAACTAATACATATGGAATTTGTATGATTATATATTTTCATCTAAAAGGAAAAGAGAAATATTTTCAAATATTCTATTTGATATATTTAAAGGTAGGTTTAGTGATTTTTTTTTTATTTTTTTAAAAGTATGTACTAGAAGTTTAATTTAATTTAACCTACTCATGTTTTAGTGTGATTTATATTACTTTCAATGTGAGTAAGAAAAAATGTAATAGAACCATTTTTTATTTTAATTACATTGATAGTAATTAATCATTAATATTTAGTGTAAATTTTATCAAATTGTTTGTACTATCAATTTTAAATGTATATAAAACTTTTTATTAATGTACAAAATTTGATACCTACTCTGTAACAATTGCATTATTATATTCTTGCAAAAGTAATGGTGTTTGGATAATGCAGAAGATTTCTGAATTTTATCAATATAACTTGACATTGTAATTTTTTATTTATTATATAAAAATATACAAAAAATAGTAGCTTTTACATAATTATATGGTTTTGCTTAAACTGAGTGCATAATATAATTTAAAAAAATATCTCTTTAAAAAACTTTGTTTGTATATACAGGGTGACTGGTGAATTACTATCAATATTTAAGGAGAATACTCGGTACATGATTCTCATTCGAATTATGTAAAAAAAAATAGGTACTTCATTTTTGACCAAATTTCCGTATAAATAAATAAAGCGTGGATACGTTCCAAGTGTTCCAAGTGTGGAGGCGTGCGGCGGCGTGCTGATACAACACAACGCCGCCGCACTCGTATGTGTGAGTGTGGATGTATACCTAATCTGTAGGGTGTTTACACGATGCGTAATAAATTACATAACTTTTGGTTAACTTTACTTAGAAGTTTATTAATATTTATATTATATTAATTTTTATTTTGTGATATATGATCGTCACAAATCACGTCCTCAAATATCGATAGTAATTCACCAGTCACCCTGTATACATATATTATGATATGAAAGAAGTTATACAATTTCATTTACATATCCCAAGTAGACTTCTCTATGTATAATGTTATACTTTTAATAGTTTTTGTATAAATTATTTATTGCTTACCATTCTAAATGTATTTTTGTTTACTATATTATTTCATATTACAGATATAGAGGATGTAGATCACAGGTTGTTGCCAAGTCTACCTCCGACGCCTGTACCTCCCCCCATACGTCATTCACATCAAGGTAATAATATATATACAAGGTAATAATATAAAGTAAGAGTATTCATATAATAAATGTTTATTACACTATTTGTTAGAAGATATATGTAAATAATATTTGTATAATATTTACAACTTTTATCTTGTTTCGTTGGACGTTCAATTTATAATAATGTTATAGTGTTGTTATGTTATGAAAAATGGAAAGTAAATGAGTATAAAATTGGATTGGTTATTATAAAAAAAATAATATGTCTTTGATTTTATTCAATTCATACTTTTTTTAAATAAATTATCCCACTGTCTAAATATGCATAAAATAATGTTTTAATATAACATGCAAATGCACTACAGTTCTCATTAAATATGCACTACACTTATTAAAATATATATATTTTATTATATTTAAATTAATATTATTTAAGTAATTAATTTATTTAATGTGCCATAAAACAATGTTTCAGATGTGGATCATAGGAATTTAATATCGTTGACACAACTACCTCCCAGACATGTTAATGTTGATCAAGTGAGTATTATATAGTATATATACATATATATAATATTATATTATACAGTTTTCATGAAAATAAGTAAATAATCATTAGAGTTATTTATAATAAAAATAAGCATTTTATAATTATTGCGTGAAGCAATTAACATGATATTCAGACCATTCATTTACAGAGATGATCTCGACAAAGGAATGTCTTATCGAGTCGAAATTTATGTTCGACACCCCAGTTATATGAGGTTGTTTTAATGGAAAAACAAAAATAATGCGTAGAATCCCTGAAGTGAAACTTCGAAATGTTTGAAAGCAAATAGGAAAGTGTAGAATTCAATTTCTAGTGAACTCATATAGTTTCATTAACAAAAAAATTATGAAAATTGCTTACAAATCACTTTTCACCCACGCTTACTCTCTCTCCGTCTCATTCTATTCCCCCCTCCCAAAGCGTTGAACGTTTAACGCAACCTTATGGGAAGTCGCATCAGAAGTTTCACTTCAATGATATCGGACCATCAATTTTGTGTATAGGAATTTAAAACGATATCCATGTACAAAAAAACTTGTACTGAAACATTGACGTCGCTTTACTCAACTTGAATTTAGAGTGTTTTTTTCGAGCGAAGCTAGAAATAATACGAAGGTGTATTTCTTAGTTATAACAAGACTAGCTTTCCGACCGCAGATTCGCCCGCGTGAAGTTCGGTTATATCGCGTTTCCAAGAGAACCTTTCACAAGTCTGGGACAAAAACTATCCTATATTCTTTCTCAAGGTCAACTCTGTCTGTACCAAATTTCATTTAAACCAGTTCAGTGGTTTAGGCGTGAAAGCGTAACAGACAGACAGACAGAGTTACTTTCGCATTTATAATATTAGTAGGTATATATAATATACGACGATACTATATTATATATATGTATATATTGTTTTTTCAGGACTACCGCGTGCCTCCACTGTCTCAGCCGCTGGGTGCGCCTCTCTTACCGCCCCCTCCTTCAGACATAGTCGAGAGTGTTGATATGGACTTATCAGAAGACGAAGAGCGTAAGATTATAATAATAACACATATATGGACTTTATAATATATAAAAGAAGTTTTTTATAAGGAATTTTATGTTCACAGTTTTTTTTGGGTCTAATTAGTAGTTAATGCCAATATATTTCTTTAGTTTCAATTAAATGTTTTTCTTTGTATTCTGTGTGAATATTTTTCTTCCAGTAACTAAGGCATACTATATATCTCTATATCCCATATATACCATAGTAGTGATGAAGTAATAGTAATCATTAATGTCATATAATTTTCAGAAGGTATGTACCAGAATCAAAATCAGGGCGATCACAGACACAACAGTTTCAACAACAACAAAGTGCTTGTCGGCGGTGAGAAGAAGGACAACAGTAATCTCATACAAATAAACGCTAATATAGACAACGAGGCCCCCCACCCAGTGGCCCCCATGAGCAATCCCTTCGACAATATGCCCCCCGCACTACGATATAACTTCAATACAAACTACCAAAAGAACCCAGATAACACTGAATATAACGAAGATATGAGAAATCGTAATATCGATAGAAGAAATCAATCACCGGAGTACGAAGATTATAAAACCAACGATTTCCAAGCCCCCCGGCCTTATATGAACCGCTTCCCAAGAAATTGGGGGCCTCGCAATAACTTCAGGGCCCCCTATAATCAGTTCAATCAACGCAACGGCCCCCGACAAAGATGGGGAGGGCCCAGGCAAAGGTTTTGGTGATTATATAGACAGACTGATAAATAAATATTTAGTCTGCGATGATTCTGATTAAAGATACATATGTTTATTTTTTTTCTCTACATTAAGATAGATCATATATAGATTGTAAATTTTCTCGGTATATTTTGTCCTAGAGTTATAATTTAAATAAAGCATAAGAATGTATGTAATTATTTTTAAAATATCCCTGATCTCAGTTATATTAATATAGAAGGTAGTGTGGTGTGGGAACTATTTATTATAAGTATTGTCTTTTGTCTGAGTTTTTGTTTGGGATTTAATATGATTTAAAAATTTTATACAAAATATATAAAGATAATTTGTAGGCATATCGTAAATACATTTCAATACAGCTGACTTGGTTTAGGTAAACTTTTATAAATTTTTATTATAAAGCATTTACTGAACCCCATTTGTAAGATATATTTTTATATATTTTTCTACTATTATTAAACGTTATATCATAGGTTCAAATAATTAATATATTTACTTAAATTATACAACGAAGTAACGAATATAAAAGACTTGAATTAATACTCCTAATATTGAACGGCTTAAAATTATAAATTATATGGAAATATGTAGTGAGTTTAGGACTCGACAAAAATAAAGTACTAGTAAATAAATGGTAGAGAATGAAAAATTCATTAATTTGTACCTAACCATGTTCATAATTAATTTTTCATTCTATATAAAATGGATTTAATAAAAATAGCTCAATATTTACATGTTGTATATAAATAATAAATATATAATGAAAAATACTAATATCACTCCTAAGTAAAACTCCGTGTTGTGAGATAATTATTTGAAAAATATTAAATTCTGCTTAATCGTTTAATAGGTTCATATTTTTTTAAATGAAACTAATATTTTTCAGATTACTAGGCGATTTTTATTTTTATCAAAAACTATATACTCCCGACGTTTCGGTTGCTCTACAGCAACCGTGATCACGGACAGACGAGATTTGAGCATGTTGTGTTGCTGCAAAGTAACCGAAACGTCGGGAGTATGTGGTTTTTGATAAAAATAAAAATCGCATAGTAATTTTAAAAATATTAGTTTCATTTAAATGAATATTCGCGAAAATCTTAGATCTCACCATACTTTTTTACTTTAATTTCACGGCTACAGTGTTAAGTGCTATCTGGTATATAATATTTATTAGCATATAAAACAATATTGACAATTGTTTAAAAAAAGGTTTTATATTAGAGAGATGACGTCATCGTTTTTTTTTAATAAATCGATTGTAGGTTTTGAACTATTAGGTTCGGCTATTAGATATTTTGAAGTCATAGTTAATTTCTAATTTTTTGGTTTACGTTTAGTATGAAACGGTCGAAAATTATAATTTTTCCCTTCGTGAAAGGGATCTCCGTTTAGGAGCTTTAGAAAATTGTGATTGGAAAAAAAACTTATAATCTGAGCGTAAAAAATATTTTATAAAGAATAAAAAAAAAACAAAATTTGTAATTAAAGTTAACCACAGAATATTATTTCATCTTGTTCAACTAAAATAATGATTTCTTCAGATTTTAATTAGAATATTTTTTGGATATGGAATAAAAAAATATGAATATAAAAATTATTTAAAACATTATATTATTTATATTTGGTATAAATTAAAGACTTACATACAATGTGATTGTTCCGGGTTAAATGTTTTTGTATTGGCAGACTGATTAGATAATATTGAGAAATACTCAAGTTAAATATTACAGTAGAAAAACGGTTTCTGCAATAAAAGTACTGATAACGTATTAAATACGTAAAAAAATATTATTTTCATATAAAAAAATTAAGTCTCATATGTATTTGCTTGAAATTACTTTCAACAAACTTAGGTTTTTCAAATCCAATGATTATAACGAAAGTATAAAAAAAAATATATCAATGTCTTCCGAATAAGCAAACTTATAAGTATTTTCGCCAAAATAATGGATTTAAAATTAATTCGGATGTAAATAAACGTTGTTTTCTTTTTTGGTAAAAACTTAAGCAATATTTTTTTTTTTGGAAAAGCCCAATTTTCTCTCTCCCAAGGTCTCTTTTTGAAGATGATAATTTCTTTTGTGTATCAAAAGAAAAATACTTTTTTTATATATAAAAATTAAATAAAATTTAAAATAATATGTAAACAGTTTCAAATATCTCTCAGTAGTTCAAGATTCTATATATATATTTTCTAAAAATTCAGTCTTCAAGTATTTCAATATGAAATATCTTTTAAATATTCATCAACACATAATAATAAAATAAAAATTCATATATATTAAATAATATAATATATGTATTAATTAAATTACATCAAATTAGTCTGATTAATTAAATTCTAGTCTAAGTTGTAATTTCCTATATAAAACCAGTGCATTTTATGTTCTTTGTAATTTATATTATTGTGATAGTAATTTAATATGTGAAAGACGAATTTATAGTGAATAATATTTATAAGTATTACATACTTTATATACATATATATTTAATACTTTTATATATAAGCCTTTTAATTTCTTCTTGCCTGTGTCACCCTATTATTTTAGTTAAGTTTACTAACGCATCGTTTACTTAGACACTAAGTTTCGAGTTTTGCATTAATAATGCTAAACTTACGAACTGACGGTGTTTAAGTTTTTACTATTATAACAAAGTTACAAATTAATTGAGTACTGAAATGAAAATAATTTGATTTAAAATTATTAAAGAAGAGAATTTAAATTTGTTGTTAACTATGAAACCCTTAGTAAGAGAATTATTTTATGAATATATTTTGAAGGCTTTATCTAATACTTACACTTTCAAAATTATTATTTGTTACTTGATTTAACATTGAAACTGTAAGTATGGTTGTAAAAAATACGTCCTTAGGTTAAAAATGATCGTAATATGTATAAAGATGTTATATTTTGTAATATAAATGATTTGTTTAAGCTGATTGAGTTTTATTTCTTCTTTATAACAAAATTCTTGGAAAACACTATTATCTTCTTCTTCCTGGCAATTTCCCAGCTTTAGCCAGAGCCTGCCTCAAACACTATTATCATTATTTATTATTTATTAAGTTTTTATTCATGAACTATGATGTAATTTTTCACACATGAGAAGTTATATTGAAGTTTACGTTCTCAGATTTCGAATCAAAAAACAATTGTGGGTTTATCCACAAGAATATTCTAGAACATTCCATCATATATATATCGATGTGTCCTATGTATAAGGGTCAATGTAGCTATTTAGCCATTTTATTTTTTTTGCTTTAGACACTTCATAATACCGTGTTCTACAACATCCATTTAAAAAAAATCGTATTGGTTGGTTGAAAGACTTCGTTTTTGCAACAAAAGGGCGTAAGTGACACTTTTTAACGTATAAGAGTGGCCTAAGTCGCCTCTCATGCACGAGGGCGCGGGTTCGATTCTGGCCCGGGCAAGTACCAATGTGATTTTTCCGAGTCATATCTACTTTCTAAGAATATTTAGATATCACTGATTAATGCTTATTCCCAAAGAGGGTTGATGTCAGACAGGCGGCGTAAAAACAAATAGCCAAAACTATTCACAACATGTAAGGCAAACCCTGGGGGAAAGCTGGGAAATTGCCAGATAGAAGAAGAATAGATGATGATGATGTATTTGTATTCGTATATATAAATACCATTATTTTGTAAAACATAATAGTAAATAGCCCCATCAATATACAGATTCGATAAGCATAACTTAAACTAAGATTGTAACATCGTAACAAGGAAATTCCAACTTAATCTATGAAGCAACACTTGCTTTTACGACTAACTTGTTGCTGATACTTCGTTGTTTGATGGACGAAGTTTATATTGAAACGAAGTTATACTACACGTAATTTAAAACTAATATACTTGTTTGTGAATTGGCTTTTATGTAAAATATTTACGTATGAAGAAAGTCATTTTGGTATTTGGTTAAAGCAATATTTTATTGTGTATGAAACTTCTATTCAAATTATAAGGTTCATCGTTTTACATTTTAATTTATATTTAATTATTTAAGACGGGAATATCTAGTTGACAATAGATTTCATCGTCATACTGCTCGACATTTACAGAGAGATCCTAATGATCGTGAGGTCATGTGAGAAGTATTTCCTACCATTACGGAATACATTCCTTTCTGAGGTTTTTCCATAGGATTATAATATGGTTCTCCTTTGAAGAAGAAGAATATTAACAAGTAAAAGCCTTAGTAAAGGTGTCATAGGCTAAAATGATTCATAAACATCAGGTATGTATGTATGCTTGTTAGTTGTTAGTTACCGTTGTTGTTAAAAGACACGTTTAATCCATTTAACTCAATATAGAAATGGGCTCATGTAGGTATTTCTCGTTATATATTTTACTAGGTAATATTTTAAGATATTTCTAGTTCGACAAAGTATTAACAGCATTTTAGTTTGTTTCTTTGTTAAATAGAGATAGATATAAATTGTCGTAGAAGGGAATTGTACCCAAGACTCATGCCAGTTTTTAAGTTTATTTAGTTTTAAACTCTGTTCTGATATTTCTATGGTAGCTATTGATTTTAGTTTGTATTGATTTGAATATTTTTAGTGATTTTTATGCATGAATTTAGTGAATTATTTAATTTTAATTTTATTAAGTACTTGTTTGTTTTTTGTGGTTTTTAATTTGTATCAATTTTTACTTATTATTATTATTACTTAGATCTTTCTCGCTGTAATTATATATTAATATATTTTAAAATCATTGTAATCGTTGTGGCCACTTTAAAAAGCTACACATGTAACCTATTTCGATTTAATTGTTTTATATTCGGCATTTAAACATGTAGTAGCTGCCAGTGGTCCTTAAAATAAATAAATAAATAAATAAATAAATAGATTGTAATACAATTATCCAAGCAGGCTGCTATTTCACTAGTAATAAGTGAAGCTAATAGATAAAATCGATACATTCCTGTATGAGATATATAACCATCAAGTTATAATAGTAAAAAAGTTAAATA